TTTAAACCCCCAAAATTGATTCCAAAAATCAACTTTGCTTCCAAAAATTATTTTAATATTTTTCCAATTTTATTGACAAATTTCTTTATAAATTTATTTCCCTTTTCCACTAAATAAGCAGGTTTTAAAATTGCTCATTATATTTACACACAGCAGTTTCGCGCGCTTCACGGCCATGAAAATGAAAGAAAAAACATTGAACGCTAGTTAAACCTTATGTTTTTAAGGCAATATATCAGAGAAAACATCCAAAAAAGTTAATTAAAAAATTTTTGGAAGGACATTTGAAAGCGACACAATTTTTTGTCCCTTTTTAAAATTTATGCGCACCTCAATTTCACCTTGAGAATAAGCAATACAACCACAAGTGTTTTCATTAACAACTTGAATTAATTTTATTGTAGGCATAATTAATAAATAAACTTATTATATTTGTTTTTAAGTTTAATCTTTAATTTATTGCTTTAGAGAACTTAAAACTTGGAAATTAAAACTTAGAACTTACGTTAACTTAATTAAAACTTAAAACCTAAGATTAAACTTTAAGCATGCAAATAAATAAACTTAAAACTTGAGAATAAGTTGAAACTTAAGTTCAAACTTAATGTTTAACAATTAAACTTAAAACTTAAATTTAACTTAATTAAAACTTAAAACCTAATAAATAAGTTTAAATCTTGAAAAACTTGAAACTTAAGTTTAAACTTAACAATTAAACTTAATTAAACAAAACTTAAGCTTAAACTTAAAAACTATTAAATAAACCTTAAACTTAAGATTAGACTTAAGATTAGATGCTTAAAATAAATAAACTTTAAAAAATTAAATTTAAAAATTAAGGCATGCACTTAAAGCTTAATTATTTTTTTTCTAACATATTTTCATTTATCTTACAAATAATTTAAATTTATTCGCAATTACCTCATTAATTTTTGTATTATTTTCGATTGTTATCTTCGATTGTTAAATTCTTGTATTTTTAAACAAGAATTTTTAATAAAAATTTTTAACCTTTACAAAAAGTCGCAAATTTTCTTTCAACTTTCATTCTCCTTCAAAAAATGGAGCGCGCAACTCCTCAAAAGACCTTCACCTCTATCATAAATTTCGCGGACACAACAATAAATACACAAACAAAACAATTCCTTAATGGCCTACAATAAAAATTAATTTTATTTTTTTCCAATTTTTCAACGAACGGTCGTTGTAAAAAATCATTTATTTTTATTAGAACGAAGGACGCCTTTAGGCCATAGAACATTTATTAATTTCTAAATTAAGTTTTAGAAACGTCTAAAGTTTTTTAGAAGCATAAGAGTAGGTGACACTGTAACATGGACATTTTATTTTTTAAGCTTACTTAAGTTTAAAATATAAAACCTAAGAAAGAGTTTAGCAAAAGTTTAGCCACCGAGCAAGATCCTAACCTCCGACCTCCTGACAGTTATTGCTAGGCTTTCGGTGAATTTTTTTTATTCACCTTCCGCTCTAGGTGAATCATCCATACATCGCAAACTAAACTTTAAATTAGAGTTGGGCGATTTTCTGTCTGCTGGGATTACCCTGAAAAGGGACATATAATTCCGTTAAGACAGAAATTCGCCCAACTCTACTTAAAACTTAACTTATTGCTTTGTAAGTTTAGGCTTAATTTTAAACTTTTATTAATTCTCCTGTTCTAAGTCTAGTTTAACCTCAAGTTCAATCTAGTTTTTTTAAGAATCATGTGTATCAGTGAAGGGATTTCTTCCACTTCCGTCTTCACCTTATTAAAAAACATCTACTTATTTATCATTTTTCTAATTTCCTTTATTCTTCCCTTAGAATGATCACAAGGGATGTTCTTCCAAAAAATCTAGAACACCTTCCTTAATCAGTTGTTTTTTCGTCCCGCGACTCCACCCCTTTTAATGCGTTCCGAAGGCTTTTGTTTCATTTTTTGTTCTTTCACTTTATAAACAGGCTAATTAATTACTTATTGTTTTAAGTAAAGATCTTTGATCTCTTATTGTTTGGACAAAATATTTTTATTTAAATATAAAACATATTTAGGTTGTTGTCTTAGTTGCCTAATTTATTTATCTAAAATTTATTTTTGTGATTGTGTTTATATTATAAGGGTTTTGGCTGTTTAGAATTTAAACCGCAACGGTTTAAGACAATAAGGGAGAAAGCAAAAGCATCGCCACGGGAGCTCAGCCCGTAGTAAGGAAGGAAGAGCAACTGAATTGCTAAGATCTACTACCGTATAACCTGTATTAATTGCCCACTCTCAAATAATTATCCCGCCTCTATTAATTACTCCCTCCAACAATAATTACCCAGGATAGTTATTACTCGGTGTCTAAACATGTGCTCATATTTTTTCATTGTTGATTTTGTGATATTTGTATAATCTTATTAAAATTAGGAATATTTTATTGCATACAGGTCAGATCCCAAACTACTTTTGAATTCAAATTTTCTCTCAATTAATAAATCCTTGGACATATTTAATCTGTTTTTATCAGTCCCAGAAGGCATTTGTATTTCTTTTTCTAAGCTATCCACAAGAATTTATTATTAATTTTAAACTTTATCAAATGATGCTTGTATCTTTTAATGGTCACGAGGTCACTTATCTCCCTTATGTAGTTCATATCTCTTCTCCCTATCAAAATACCTTAAGGCGTAAAAATTAAATAAATACCTATATCTTCTACGTTTAAATTCACCCGTAGATCACTTCCGAGAAGGGAAAAGAAGGAAAGAGGTAAGGAAGGAGAAGATTCGGGCCGATCCATAACACAAAAAAAGGAAGAAGAAGAATTTTTTTAGTACGCGTAGATCCTCCGAATTAATTATTTTGTTCTCACTTCCCAAATATTTATTTTTATAGGTACGTATTACTAATCCATTTTGGATATAATAATGCACTATTTTTTAATTAAAAATATTTTTTTGAAATTTTATTTAAAAAATTTTTTTAATTGAGAAAATTTTTTTAATTAATTTTTTTTAATTATTTTTGAATTTCCCCATATAAAAATTAAAAATAATTTTCCCCTAAGAAATTAAAAAAATTTAATTAATTTAAAATATAATTTCCTAGACTAAATTTAATTATTCACCAGATTTAATTTAATTAAAAATGATTTATTTTAATTAAAAAAAATTTCTGCACTATTCTGAGTAGAAACTCAAAATCTACCCATGACGTCGCATTCTCGACGTTATTTCCCCACATTCTCAATTAATCAGAGAATGTGGTGGCGAGAACGAAAGGTCAGATTTGCTAGTTATTTTCAGAATTTTAATCAGAATTGTTTTAAAATAAACCTGAAATCAGAATTTTACAAATTCTGATTTTAATTTATTTTTAAAACTTTATTATAATTCTGATTATTAATTCTGATTTTAAAACTTGATGTACAATTGTAAAAAAAAATAAATTTTAAATCAGAATATATTTTACAAATTCTGATTGAATCAGAATTTTTAGGAACAGAATATCTTACAAATCAGAATTCATTTTTACAAATCAGAATTTATTTTTACAAATTCTGGTTTAATAATAAACTTAATTTAATTCTGATTGTAAAATTGTAAACTTGATTTACAATTATACAAAATAAACTTTAAATCAGAATTATTTAAATTTTTATTTTCTCATGTTTTATTTCCCCAGTTGTTTTTATATTTCTTCTGCTTGCTTCTACCCCTCGCGCAGCCCCAACTTCCACAGTGGATCGATCAGCACGGATCGCTAGAGGGCGATAGCAATTCTTTTATTGTTCACCCTCAAAGGAGAAGTGTCCTTCTTGAAACTGTAAAAATCTTTCCGTGAAAAAAAAATTATAAAAAATAAAATTTAAAGCAAAATCATGTGCCATCATCCTATAGAAGGGTATTACGACAAACACAAACCGGTGAAGTTAATTGTAATGCTCCATGGGATGGAAGATGTCCTCCACCGTCAGTTATTAAATTTTAAATTTCTAATTAAATTTGTCTAAAGTTCCTATTTTGATCCTGCACTTGCTGGGGGTATAACTGGAGGTGCTGGCATTAAAGCAAGATTAAACCAGCGAGCTTTTCAATATTTATCTACAATTGCGGCAGGCATTTTAAGTGAAATTTAGATTTAAAAATGAAAATTATATTTGAATTAAATATTTTTATCAGATTATTACATAAAAAGGACAAGACTTCCAAATATTCAGCAATGCATTCCACAGGTAAAATTAATTTCTAAATTTTGAAACAGAATATTCATTTGAAAGTTTTAAGTTTGCTAAGCTTGAAAATAAGTTTTTAAGTTTGTGAAATTCTGATTTAATAATTGTAAAATTCTGATTGTATAATGACTTGATAATATTTAAAAATAAACCTGAATCGGAATTTTAATCAGAATTAATCTCAATCAGAATTACCTATAATTCTGATTTATAATTTATTTTTAAAAATTTATTCTGATTATTAATTCTGATTATTAATTTCTAAAGATTCTGATTATAAAAGATTCTGATTGTTAATTCTGTTTGTAAAATTTAATTTCAGAATTATGAAATATAAATTTAAAATCAGAATATTTTTACAAATTCTGATTAAATATTTTTAAGTTTGTAAATTAATATTCTGATTTGTAATTTAATATTCTGATATTATCAGGTTTTCAAGTTGTTGTAATTCTGATTTAATAATTATAAAGTTCTGATTGTAAAACTTGACTAACATCTACTTAAATTAAACTTTAAATCAGAATAATTTTTACAATTCTGATTTAATACCAACTTTATTTAATTCTGATTGTAAAACTTTATTTACAATTATTTAAATAAACTTAAGTTTCTGGTTTTAATATTTTCAAGTTTGTAATTTAATATTCTGGTATTACTTTTCTTCTTGTTTTATTCAAGCATTTCAAGCACAAACTTAAAACTTTAAAACTTAAGTACACTAATTCCTTCCTAGCTTAATGGGTGTATTAATGTTTACAATTTGTATGTATCGCGTTTTAGATGTCCAGAAAGTGAGTTTTGTAAAATTTTACAAACTTGACACTTTCTTGCCTATTTTTAGGGGTACTAGTTTATCCAGCTCCTCCAAATCAAATAGTGCTGGATGTACATAATCTTGATATAGGGTATTTTCATTATTTTTAATTTTAATTTAAATTAAAAAATATTAGGGTAACAGGAAATCTCGGAGGTCAAATAGTTATACTTATACCTATAGCCTTATTTGGAATTGTACAAGTAAATGCTCACCAGGTAAAAACAAATAGTCTTCTTTTAAAAAAATTTAAAATAAAGGTTAGTGTGCGTGTAGGTGTAACTATAGCTGCGGGTCCTGATGGAGGCCCTGTGATTCGAATGGTTAGCTGTAAGTTTATAATAATTATTTTAACTAATTTTTAAACAAAAAAGGCGCTGCTAGTGTAGGATTTGTAGATGTATTTATACAGAATGGGGGTCTAGTTGGTGATATTGCTAACGCTCATTTTAGGGTAAATTTATTTAAAATGAACTGATTTTTAATTGAAATACTTTAAATTTAAGGGAAAAATTAGCGAAATGGTTAGACAACAAATTCCCGGCCAGCTTTGCCAAAGATTGCCAGGAATAATTGATTCTGAAGTCAACTCAAAAATATCGCAATTAGTTCCAAGACTGATTCCTCTCTCATCATTGCTGCAAATTGCCCTAAATGCTTTTGGTTTAGAGAATTTATTGGGTGGAAACCCTGTAAGTTGTTATAAAGTAGGGTGAAGGGAACATTCAAAAGTAGGGTGAAGGGAACATTCATAAGTAGGGTGAAGGGAACATTCAAAAGTAGGGTGAAGGGAACATTCAAAAGTAGGGTGAAGGGAACATTCAAAAGTAGGGTGAAGGGAACATTCAAAAGTAGGGTGAAGGGAACATTCAAAAGTAGGGTGAAGGGAACATTCAAAAGTAGGGTGAAGGGAACAATAAATTTTTTTAAAAATTTGAAAATTGGAAGGGGAATTCTCTTATAAGTTAAAATGTTTTTCATAATATCAAAATTAAAAATGCCACTTTTTTCATAATCATTTCAAAAATCACAAATTTCCCTCTTCTTTAAAGACTAAAAGAGCCTGCCCCGCTTCATGCAAGAAACGAAAGCTGGCAGCTGCCCATGCAGCAGGATCATCTTCCAACTCAACAGTGCTTGTATTACCTCCCCATTCATCACATGATAAATTAGTTCCAACAAAAAATGGTGGAAGAGTTATTAAAAACAACGAAGATCCTTCACTAAAATTGATCAGTGGAACAGCAATAAATGGAAACTCGAATGGGCAAATATTATCTAGGCCTTCGAATCATCCTCCTCATGCTGTACAACCTATTAAACCGCAGCATATTGGGAGGGGAACTCTTCCAAGAGTTGTTTCAATTAACGTTGCTGGGACTATGAATACTGGAAGGACTAGAATTGTAATTTTAAAATTAATGTTCAAAATAATCTTATCTCTGAAACACTAGAATAAGGTGGATAAACACTCAAAATTATGTAGGGTCAATGTTGGAGAGGACTTCGAGTAGATAAAGGGAACATTCAGATGTAGGGTGAGTGGAACACTCATATGTAGGGTGAAAGGATAATTCAGATGTAGGGTGAAGGGAACATGCGGATGTAGGCTGTAAGGAACATTCAGATGTACTAGGGTGAATGGAACATTCAGATGTAGGGTGAAGGGAACATTCAAAGTTAAGGTGTAGGGAACAGTCAAAAGTAGTTGTACTGAACCTTCAAAAGTAGGGTGAAGGTAACACCAGGATAGATTTCATAAAAATATCCTCAAAAATTTTTATTAAAAAATCTTTTCAAAGAATCCACCAACAATAGCTGCACCAATCCCTCCCCGCGCACAGAGACCCGTTCGAAACGTTAACAATCAATTTGAAATGGCAAAAACTCGAGATGACCGTGCTACTCCTTCAGAATCTGGGAGACTAACATTTTTAGATCCAGGAGAAAATAATTGCGAAAATTGTACAAACACTGTTGGAGAAGAAAATCCGTTAGCGTTTTTAACTACGATATTACAATCTATGGATTTGGTTGGTTTGAAAAGAAACTTTAAATCAGAATTTTAGAAAACATAAAACAAAAGTTTATAAATTTAAAATCAGAATTTTAAAAAACTTGAAACAAAAGTTCATAAACTTTAAATCAGAATTTTAGAAAATTCAAAACTAAAGTTTATAAACTTGAAATCAGAATTTTACAATTTTGGTTGAGTCGCAATTCTGAAAGATAAACTTGAATTAATAAATAAACTTAAAATCAGAATTTTAGAAATTAAAACTTGAATCAGAATATATATAAATAAACCAGAGTGGGAAAATAAACTTGAATTTTTATTTCTAAAAATAAACTTAAAATCAGAATTTTAGAAATTAAAACTTGAATCAGAATATATATAAATAAACCAGAGTGGGAAAATAAACTTGAATTTTTATTTCTAAAAATAAACTTGAAATCAGAATTTTTGCAAGCTTGAACTTAATTTTCTATAAATAAACTTGAAAATACAATTGAAATTAATTAAACTTGAAATCCAGACTTTACCTTTTTAAATAAAAACATTTTAAGCGCAAACTTAACAACATATTTTTAAATATCCAACTTTTACAAACTTATGCTACAACAAGAGATTTCACAATAGAAGTCAATGGTGCTTCTTTTAATTAAATTAAATTTACAATTTTAATTGGAACTATTTAAGGCGGATTTTCTGTCTGTGGGCGAGGTTGTACTCCTTTTGGGCCTTTTCCAATGCAATTTCCCCCTTGTGTGAATTGTAAAATGGTGGAAGCTTTAATTAGCGATTATTCAATAAATTCGTTACTTTATCACTTACACAAGTAAATTAATTAAATCTTGTAACAAAATCAGAAAAAAATCAGAATAAAAAATCAGAAATAAAATCAGAATAAAAATCAGAATAAAAGTCAGAAAAAAATCAGAATAAAAAATCAGAAATAAAATCAGAATAAAAATCAGAATAAAAGTCAGAAAAAAATCAGAATAAAAATCAAAATAAAAATCAGAAATAAAATCAGAATAAAAATCAGAAAAAAATCAGAAAAAATCAGAATAAATCAGAATTTTATTTTTATTTATTTAATCAAGTACCGGCTTCATCCGAATTCGAGTAGGCCCAGAGACTCCCAAATTTGGCGATTTATTGAAAACAACTTGTGGGGAAAGTGAAGATGAGGGGGGTGATACAGAATTAGAAGACCATGGAGTGGAAACTGAGGAAGGCGAAGGGGCATCAACTGCTTCACCTGCAATAAATGTTGAAGTAAAGAAGAAGGTTGCAGCAAAGAAGTTAAAGTCTTTAAAGCGTTTAAAGAGACAAGATGCTAGTGATTTGTCAAGCTTGGGCATTTGTTTGGGAGATATTTTACCTGTAATTTTTATGAAACATTTAAAAAAGTACAAACCTGAAAATTTTACAAACTTGAAAATTTTACAAACTTGAAAAATTTCAGAAACTTGAAAAATTTCACAAACTTGAAAATTTTACAAACTTGAAAAATTTCACAAACTTGAAAAATTTTACAAACTTGAAAATTTTACAAACTTGAAAAATTTCACAAACTTAAAAATTTTACAAACTTAAAAATTTTACAAACTTGGAAAATTTTACAAACATGAAATCAAAATTACTTATTTTTTCAACTTAAGTCTGTTCGAGAGAAATTTCCAAATCAACGTGTTTATATAATCATAAGCACAGAACGAGCGCCATCAGTGCAGCTTAGTGGAGCGAATGGGGGTAATTTTAAAATTAGTATTCCTGCAATTAAAAAAAATTATTTAAGGAACAGCCTTAATTAATGCTGTACTCAATGCCGAGTTCCATATAGAATCGTCAAATGCCGTAGCTGGGACAATTAGAATAGATGCTTCTCTTATTGTTACAATTAATGGCCAAGGAAATAGAATATCTGCACATGCAAACATTACTAGGTTAAATCTTCAGGATGTAGGAAATCAGTTGGGATTGCCTCAAGATGCACTCGACAACCTGGGAACTTTGGGAAAGGATATTCTTCTTAAGGTAAAATATGAATTGGAATAAAGTCAGAATTTGTAAAAATAAAAATCAGAATTTGTAAAAATAATATCAGAATTTGTAAACATAAAAATAAGAATTCTATTATGATCAGAATTTGTAAAAATAATATTAGAATTTGTAAAAATAAAAATCAGAATTTGTAAAAATAATATCAGAATTTGTAAACATAAAAATAAGAATTCTATTATGATCAGAATTTGTAAAAATAATATTAGAATTTGTAAAAATAAAAATCAGAATTTGTAAAATAAACTTGAATCAGAATTTGTAAAAATAAAAATCAGAATTTGTAAAATTATCAGAATTTTTTACAAATTCTGATTTTAAGACTTAAATTGTAATTATTTAAAAATAAATTTGACCGTGAATTTTAAAAATAATGAACAGAATTTATACTAAGAATTAATTTGCTTTTAAGGCCGCTAACGACGCTTTGGAGAAAGGCACAAAGTTGAATATCCCTGCAAACATTGCTGGATTGCCTATTGTACGTTTTAAATATTTTCAGAATTTTATAAAAATAATTTTTCCTCTTTTTTAAAGACAATAGTCAACCCAAGTATACACTTCCTTGAACATGCCCTTCTTATCCAAACAGATTTCACTTTAAATCCAAATGCATTAGGCGGATACGAGCCCTGTCCGTCTACTAGAACATGTTGCTAAAGATTTATAGTTTTTAGATTTTTAGGTATTAGAAAATTTTTTAATAATTGATAAAAACTTGTAATTAAAATTCTTACGACTTTGTAAATTAAAATTCTGATTTTCTTCTTTTTTTCTTAACTTGATGAATACATATTGTATTAGTTGAGTCATTAATTCTGATATTTTTATTTTGTTTTAATTTCAAAATTCAGAATTTTGTAAAAAAAAATTTTTTTTATTTTGTATTTGGTATTCTGATTTTTAATTTTGTTATCACAATTTGTAAAAATAATCATGAATCACAATTTGAAAATTACAATTCTAATTCATTTATTCAGAATTTGTAAAAATATCTTCGTTTCTGATTTTTTACTTGTAGTGCTTCACTTTAAAATCAGAATTATATTTCCGGTTAGAATTTGTAATTCTGATTTTTTAAAAGTACAATTCTGGTTTGTAAAAATTACAAATCTTATATTATCATAAATTAAAATTCTGATTCTTCCTTTTTTTTAACTTTTATATATTGCACTTTATCCGGTTGAACTTTATTTTTTACAACTCCATTTGTTTAAAATCTTGTTTTTTCTCATTTTACATCTCCTTCCAAGTTTGCTCCAAAAATTAGTTAAATTTTATAAATTTGTTTTTAATAAATAATTTTTTTTCTAATTTTTTATATGTAGAAAAAATTTTTTTCAAAATATTTTTCACAAAAAATATTTTTTAATATTCGAGACGATAATAAATAAAATTAAAAAAATAATTGTTCGCTCAATTTTTATTTTCGTTCCAAAAAGATAAAAATTAATTTTCAAATGCTGATTGAAACCCTTTAAACTTCTCCTCAAATTCATTTCTCAATTCCGGCTCCATTTTATTATAAATTTGTAAAACTTGTTGCCAACGTTCCTGATCGGGAACGGATTTATTATTTAATGTAGCAGAAATCTAAAAATTAATTTTTAGTCTTAAGAGAGCCACAAATTCTGTTGAACCTCTGCAAATTGCTCTTTAGCATTTTCACTCATTCCAGAGACCTTTTTATCTACCCTATCTCGGTCAGCATTGTTTTTATTATCGTTTTGCTTCATAAACTCTTTAAAGAGAATCTAATCAAAAATTTTTAATTTTTACAAATTATATGGACGAAGTTTCTACCTGTCTGTCCACATCCATTTTCTTTACAAGTTGTTCAATTAAAGCAACTTGTTCATTATAAGGACGATTAGGTTCGCGAATGATCTTTTTGTACTGAAAATTATTATTAAAATGCTATTGTTTCAGAAATTGTACATATTTTTAATAAGGTTCGAAGCTGGTCTGGTCGGTTTCGGATATTCAAAGACTATCCAAGGATCGACAGTCCTAGGCAATGGAGTTACATATATCGTGGTCTATTCCCTGAAAGTCTTTGAATTTAAATCCTGGCAGAATCTTCCCAAATCTTCCTAAAAACCTACTCTTCCTAAACTTCCCCTAATCTTCCCAATCATTGCCCCCCCCCCCCAACCCTTCGGTGAAAAGGAGAAGACTTTGGACTTATTTCTCTCAACAATAAAAATATACTCTAAAAATTTTTTGTCATTCACCTCCTCTATAAATTCTTGTTGAGCCCCTCTAAGGAATATTGGAAGAGTATCACTCTCATTACTTCCATTTCCTTGATCAATTAATGTTTTCACTCCTTTCGCTTGTAAATCTTCAAAGGTTGAACTTTTCTGATCATTCTTTTGTGTTGGCTGGTTTCTTGATGGCTGTTCAATTCCTTTATTTTGTTCTACTCCAGTCTGAAATCCTTCTGGAAATGTTGAAGAAGCCTGATCATGAAATGGACGTTGTTGAAATCGGAAATATGGGTGTGGAGGAAATTGTGGATTATTAATCGTTGGCATTTGGAAAGACTAAATTTGATAAAATATTTTATTAATTACTCTAGATCAGTGTGGTAGTAGACACATAGCTCCTTAGTTGCAATGTTTTAAGCCGCAGTCAGGTATTATAAGCTTAGCTCAAATACACATGATCCCAGCACTAGTTTAAGCTTGAACTAATTAAAACTACAAATTCTCTAAATATTTCAAATTATTTTACGTTATGATAGAAAGGCTGCTGAAACATTCCTTGTTGATTCCTTAATTGCTCTGACTGTCCAAAATAATTATTTGGCATTTGTGGAATATTTTGAAACCCTTGTCGATGTTGATAATTCTGTCCAAAACCTGTACTAGCTTCTCCAAAATAATTATTTCCATTTAAAGGCCCTCTAAAGCCTTGGGGAAATCTTGGAAAATTATCTGAAGCAAACGGTACTTGTTGTGAATTATAAGGGGAAAATTGTGAAAAGGGGGGATATTGGGGTGGATAAGCGAATATTAGTAAAGAAATTATTTGTTGAGTTAACACAAATAGTAAAAAATAATTTTTGAATATCATCTTTCTGAAAAAAATTTTTTTAATGTTAAATAAAATCTAAATGAGCAATTTTAAACATAACATAGTAAACATAAGTGTTTATTCATTTTGTGTTTATTCAATTTTATAATTTAAGTTTAAACTTGAAATTATTTTATAAAGTTTATTTTATTAAAGTTTAAACTTGAATTTATTTTTAAAGTTTATTAATATACCTAAGTTTATTTTTTTCAAGTTTTCAAGTTTACACTTAGATTCTTAAATTCTTTCGCCAAGTTTATTTATAATTATTTTCAAGTTTAGACTTGAATTTTCAAGTTTATTTAATATATTACCAAGTTTATTTTTTCAAGTTTTCTAGTTTACACTTAAATTCTATCGCCAAGTTTATTTAAAATTATTTTCAAGTTTAAACTCGAATTTACTATATTTTCAAGTTTATTTAAATTTATTAAGTTTAAACTAGGTTTAAATTTCTCATATAAGTTTAAACTTGAATTTAAAACAAAGTTTACATTTACATTGTAAAATCATCAAGGGCAGGTGGCGTAGTGACAGAAGACCCACAGACAGAAGACCCAAGGACAGAAGAACCACAGCCAAAAGACCCACAGACAGAAGACCCACAAGGACAGAATACCCACAGACAAAAGACCCACAAGAAAATTTTTTAACTAAAACTTTAGAAAATTTTTCTTGAAATTTCTGAAAGAGATTTCCATTTTTCAAAACACAAAATTAATTCTAAAGTTAACCAATAAAATTTTTACCGTTAAATTTTATGGATGAGTTACCGTTAAATTTTATGGATCTTAACAAGTGAATCGGATATGTCAGGGAATTTAAAGGATGTAAACTTTTTAAGATTTTATAATTCCACTAATCCGCTTATATCCACCGATATCCCTCCATTTACTCAGAAATAATTAACTAATCTACTATTCCAAAGATCCCCGATGTACTTGCATATCCTTGATCGCTTTATCTGATTTTTTTAAACGACATGGACCGGATTTTCCGGGACGAAATCCCGAAAATCCGGGAAATCAAGATCCCTCTTCATTAAACAAGCTCCCCCGTTGTTGCAATAAGATTCCCCATTGTTAAAATAACATCCACGTTGTTGGAACAAACTTCCCGATTGTTAGAACAACCTTCCCTAATATTGAAACAACTTTCCCGTTGTTGGATCAATCTCTTATTAAGGAAAACAGAACTAACAACAGCAATTTAAAAAATGTAAAACAAAAAAGTTGTGGGTATTTTGTCTGTGGGTATTCTGTCCGTGTGGGTCTTCTGTCTGTGGGTCTTTTGTCTGTGGTTCTTCTGTCCTTGGGTCTTCTGTCTGTGGGTCTTCTGCGTCGACACGAGGGCAGGTCTATAACGATAAATAAAAAAATATTCAAAGCTATATTGGACACCTATATTTATTTTTGAAACAATGAATAAATGAACAAAAATAAAGTGAACAATGCTAAAATGAATCTAACTTTAAGGAAAATAATTTTTTCCAAATAAAATTGACTGGCACGTTCCATTATTTTTATTCGAGGTCATCCCCTCGCTGACCAAACAACTTTTTACTTGTTAAAAAAAGTGTGGTAAAAACAAAAAACAATTACGCAACCTTGAAAGAATTTATTATTTAGAAGACTTGTATGTATATGCGGAAAAGTGACCTAGAAATAATTTTTTTAATATTGAAAAAATTATTTCGATGACTCAGAGCAGAGGTGGGTCGGAACAGTCAGAGGTCTCAGAAATCGGAAGAGCCGGAAATCGGAACTGGCTCAAAAGTCAGAACTCGGAAATCGGAAATCAAAAATTTTTTTCGGAAATCGGAAGGAAAAAAACGTCGGAAATTGGAAGTCGGAAGTCTGACCCTCCTCAGGATTTCAGAGAATGGGAAGCATTATTCATAAAATTAGAAATTTTATTTTAAAACCAGAATAACAATATTAGTTAACTTTAAATTGTGAAAGAAATCAGAATTTTAAATTTTATATTCTGATATGGAATGTCCGCACAAAGTCAGGTGAACGAGACACTACATGTTCGAACTCAGCCTGGGAAATTCTTTTATCTCCATCCAGATCTGCTTCTTCAATAATACGGTCTATGATGAATTCTACTTCTTCGTCGCTCATCTTTTAATTAAAAAAATTTTTTTGATAATTTTAAAATAAATTTAATTTTAAGTATTTAGCTATCCTGTTGAAGGGGAAAAGTTAAGCAACCATTCTAAAATTCTTTCTATTTTTAAAATTTTTTCCTAACTTCCAAGTCATTTTCTATTGGCTTATAAATAAAATTCTTTAACCTAAAAATTTGTTCTACCTCTTTCCTTGTAAGTGCATCAATCATTTGTCTTAGGTCCTCACGTCCCAGAAACTCGTCCCCATCAAAATCTATTGTTTAATGATTTAGAAATTAAAAAAAATTTTTTTTTCTAAATCACCATATATTCTAAAGGCATATTTCAATTTTAATTGTAAAGGAGCCATTTCACTGAATACAGAAAACATATCGAGAAAATCGTCAAAAGTTAAATTTCCACAGCCATCCTCTGAGAATACTTCACAAATTCTTCGACGGAAAGGATTCTCCTTTAGTAAAATTTACAGTAATCTCATCAAAATAAAGGATCAGTTAAGATAAACCTTAAGTTCAGGCATTCTTCCAACTTCCTCAAACGTCATTTTAACAAGTGAAGCTTGATTCCCTTGCATGTTTCCAGGCACTTTTTCGGGGTTAAGAGCATGAAAACGTTTATAAAGGCGAAGAATGTCTTTTTTAGTGAAGAATGTGCAATCCTTATAATTAATAAAATTATCAATTTCATTCTCATATATACCCCGTACACTTGGATTAGTTAATAGGATAGGCTATACTCTTTTGGGGTTGGGATTTGGTTGTATACCGTATTTACTCGATTAATTCCCCACCCTCAAATAATTCCCCACCCTCTATTAATTCCACATGCCACGGCTAGGTTGAAAAAATAATTCCCCAGGGGAATTAATCGAGTAAATACGGTAAATCCGCTGGGAATGATCGTTGTGAGGAGTTTTTGTTAGGGCGAGACTGGATATAGAGGGCGAGCCAACTTCGCCAATTTCGAAAAGAATTAGTGGTCTTAATGGTCCAGTAATCTCATCAAACCTGATATTCATCAAGCTGTTCAGATGTAAAAACACCTCCTTTTGAAAATAAATGTAGGTCCCCCAGTGCTGAGCGAGTATTACCCATTATTTTTAATAATTTGACTTCAAATAATGGTCAAACAATCAAAATTTAGTTGTCGAATAAACAAAAGAGAAAGGCTAAAAGTATTGATATATTTTAGCTTTCACCAGCAAACAGCCATTAAGTTTGCAAAAGAGAAACTTAAAAAGCCTTTCCTTCCACCCTCACTTGGAAAACACTCAAAATTGGCCATTGAGTTAACTTTTGCCAGAGGACAAGAAAAATAAACGAAAGAGAGATTGAGTAAAAGAAATAAGCAGGATTAAGCTGGTGGCTGTCGAAAGAAAATATAGCATTCAATAAACAAGTACAATTAAGCTTAAACTTGATAATAACTATAATTAGTAATAATTTTACCATATGAACTTATAATTATTTAAAATTTTGATTTAATATTAAATTGATAAGACTTAAGAACAAACTTAAAATAAATAAACTTAAGACTGAACTTAAAAATAAAAAATAAACACAAGAATAAACTTGAATGAGAACAAACATAAAATTAAAACATAAACTTAAGTTTAAACTTGAAAATAAGCTTAAGTTTTAATTAGATTTGTTCTTAAGTTTATTTATTTTCCCTTGTGTTATTTTATTTTCAATTTTAGTCTTAAGTCATACAAAATAAAAAATAAATAAACTTGATTAAGAATTATAAATTTAATAAACTTAAGAACAAACTTGAAAATAAAATAAGCTTAAGCATAGATTATCAAGTATCCTTATTTCTCCACTTATACTCAAATAAATTAATATCAATATTTATTTGTAGCAAAAATAAATTTTTATAATATTTTTAAAAATAAAATTTAAAGAAAAGCATCACTATCCCCACAACTTGGGACAGATTTTTTCTGCTTTGATAAATCATTCTCATTTTTTACAATTTTTTTCTCTTCAATTTTGAATATTTGTTTTTCTTCTTGTTTATCTTCCCCAGCAATATTTAATAATTGGCTACTTCCAAAATGGGAAAGTAAACGAAGTTGGGAGAATCTGCTGGTTAAGCCGGCAAACATGGGGGGTGTTGAATGGGAAAATGAGCTTGATCTTGAAAAAAAATTTTTCGATTTTTTTAAAATTATTTCTCGACCTCTTTTCAAGCTGTTGTCCATTTTCTAAGTGTTGCCCATTAATTAGTCCATTACCCAAAAGCATAAGACGGCTATCATCTGTGCAACCTAGCGATGCTAACCGATGTTCTTTTAGTTTGGCAATAGTTGGGGAATTTAGACTGAAGCGAGTAAATATGAAATGATTAAAACCTCCCTGAAAAAGACTAGAGGAACTGGAACTATGCTTTACCCTATCCCAGAAGCCATGTTTGTCCCTGGACCCTTAATAAGCTACTCAGCGATGCTAACCGATGTTCTTTTAGTTTGGCAATAGTTGGGGAATTTAGACTTAAAAAATATAAACTGATTAAAGCCTACTTCAAAAGGACTAGAGAGACTTGAACTATGATTTTCTTATCCCAGAAACCACGCTCATCCCAGGAACCTATCAGGTAATTTTTATAAATTAATTTACTCTTTATCAGTCATTGCGGTTGTATTATTTGTTGTTATTAAGTGTAATGATCTCCTCCTTTTCTGAAATGCTTGGGCATGTTGTTGTCTCAATTCTCGATTAATTAAAGCATATAAAACAGGATTAGCAGCGGAGTTGAAGCAAACGAGAAAATGGGCAGCAAAGAAAACAGAGCTTAGAGTTAGGGTTGACCAACTGACCTGAAAATAATTTTTATAAAATTTAATTTTTTAGATAATTTTAAAATTTTTCTAAAATTTTTAAAATATTTTTAGGCAACTCAAAAAAATTTTTTCAAAATTTCAACTATTTTTTTGATCATTTCCACACTAATTTTTATTAGTTTCAAACTGCTTTTAACGCCTTTTTTTAATTATTTGCCTATGTCCTCTGTGGTCGACTGGTTAGTGTTCTTGATTATCCCTTATTGAAATCTAATTAATAAACACTTAATCTTATTTGTGGCGATGATGTGAATTCCCAAAAAGGCTTCTGCAGTAATGAGTTTTGTGATTCTATTCGCACATGACTGAGCCACTTTTTACGGTTTAAATTTTATCAGAAAATTAATTTTTTTGTATTAAAAATATTTTTTAAATTAAAAAATTACTAACAACAATCAAGCCAAATTGAGACATTATATTTAAAAGCCAGTAAGGTGTCCAACCTTCAAAAAAAATTTTTTTTGAAATTTTTTAATTAAAAAATTTGAAAAAACTAACAGAAAAAATAAAATAGAATAACAGCAACAATTCTTTTAGTAACTTTGTGTAGTCTTGCAGAAGACACGGACGGACTAGGTGCATGCATATGCCCTTCAGAGTGTTTGCGTATTGCTAGGGCATCATTACGCAATTTAATTATAACCTTTAGAAGTTAATAAAACGTTAATTTTTACAAATTGTAAAACTTTAAAAAATAAACTTGAAATATTGTAAAATTGTAATTATAAAGTTACAATAGCCAAGTTGTAATTTTAAGTTTTATTTCAAGTTTAATTATGTTGGAAATTAATTTAAAAATTCAAGTTTACAATTCAAGTTTATTTTTAAATATTCAAGTTTATTTATTTTCCTTTATTTTTCAAGTTTACAATTCAAGTTTATTTTTGTAAATATTCAAGTTTATTTATTAATCTTTTTCAAGTTTACAATTATAATATTCAAGTTTATTTTTTCACTAAATCAATTTACAATTTTACAATTAAGTTTTATTTTTTTCTGTCAATAATAAAGTTTATTTTTCAAGTTTACAATTCAAGTTTATTTGTATTCTACAATTTCAAGTTTATATTTCAGCATATAATCCTTTACCTGTGCATAAAAGAAAGTAATTAGCATTGCCGGAATTAAATACCCAACAGTAAATGTGTATAACATAAAGAAAGGTGAATTTGTATCAAACACGCATTTGAGCACAATTTGGTGTGGTTGTGGTGGTGTAAAAGAATGATTACTAGGAAGATCTTGTTGTTGTGAAGCAGCAATAATTTCTTCATCAACAAGTCTCAGTCCCGTAAGTCTATTAACTTGGTAAACTTGTGATTCTTTTAGGACGGGGTAGAGAAGAAGGGTGGCAATAAAAGTACAGCTTGCTAAGACGGAAATTGCAACTGTGTTTGTTCGCATTCCTATAGACCTTATTGGGTAGCAGACGGCCATAAAACGATCCCAACTTAACACCTTAAAAAATTGAAATTGAAGAATTAAATAGACTTCAAGGGAGAAAATAGAAAAACATTTTACTTGAAATTACAATTGTAAAATCTTTAAAACTTGAAGAAATTTGAAAATTACAATCTTAAAATTATAAGAGTATAAGATCAAGTTTATTTTATAAAACTTAAGTTTGATCTTAAAAATATTATAAATTAAAGTTTTATTTTATAAACTTAAGTTTGCTCTTAAAAATATTTTAAAATTAAAGTTTAATTTTATGAAACTTAAGTTTGATCTTAAAAATAATTTAAAATTAATGTTTATTTTATAAAACTTAAGTTTAATCTTAAAAATTGTTATATATTCAAGTTTATTTTGTTAATTTAAGCTTGAACTTAAAAATGTAATACAATTCATGTTTTATTGTATACTTAAGTTTGAGCTTAAAATTTTAATTGTAAAAAAGTTGGTAATTCAACTTACTGTCATAAGAAATGAACTGAGCAATTTATTTACAGACTCGCCGAACCAGTATAATTTACACATTCCTCCCCCAAATATCCACTGGCCTTCTAACATTTCAAAAATGAGCATAGGTAAGTGCATAATTACAAATAAATCGACAATAGATAAACCTAAAAATAAACCAATTAATTTAAAAAATATTTTTACCCAAAACGTATATAAAAACGTGCACAGCACTAGCTTGAGCAAGCATTTTTCTACTTGGACCGGCACCTGATTTTTGACGATTTCTATTTAATGTAGACAAAACGTTTCCAATCATAACGATAACTAACCTAATTTAAATAAGTTTAATGTTTATGCTTTAAGTTTATTGAAATGCTTCAAGTTTCAAAAATGCTTCAAGTTTATTTTTTATTAAAACTCAAGTTTTTAAGTTTACAATTCAAGTTTATTTTCATTTTATTACATATAAGTTTAATGAATTTAATAAACTTGAAGCATGCTTCAAGTTTATTTTTTTATTAAAATTCAAGTTTATTTTTTAAGTTCACAACTCAAGTTTGATCTTAAAACTTGTTTCTATTATTTCGATTTTATTCTTCCTTTTGCTTCAAGTTTATTTTATTCTATATTTACCCGTTGCCCAGAGTTCCCAATAAAAATAGAATTGCATATCCAATACAAAATACAAGCTTCACAGTTCTTCTAGTTTGCATTTCCGACTCGTCGGGTCTTTCATTCTCATCCTCCCATTGTTCATCTTCTAAAGAATTTATATCCGCAAGAAATGGTGATTCTCCCAAGGAATTAGGCAATTTAGAAGAATTATTGGTGAATAAGGATGTTGATAAATTCATTAATAAATATTTTTTTATTTTTTCTGAAACTTAAAATCATACTTATGTATATTAAGTAATAAACACAATAGCAAAATTAAAATTGTTATTAAAATTTAAAAACATTAAATTCATTAAATAAACATTTGTAAAATAGAATTGTAAAATTATTTATTTATTGCAATTCAAGTTGATTTTTCAAATTTTGTTTCAAGTTTATTTTTCATTATTATTAAATTTACAATTTTACAATTCAAATGTATTTTATTTAATCCAAGTTTATTTAATTCAAATTTATTAAAACTTGAGCTTGATCTTAAAAATTCAAGTTTATTTTAATTCAAGTTTATTAATTTTTGCTTCAAGTTTATCTTTATTTGCTTTACTTTACTTAACATAAACTTTGTACAGAGATTATAAATTTATTAAATAAATTATAAAAAATGAAATTAAAACAAATTTATTTTAATCCTTAAAATATTTTGAAAAATAAATATTTAAAAATTTTAAAATAATTTATAGTATTTACACTCTAATTAAAACAATATTTTACTCAAACCTAATAAAATGCTTCATTATTTATTTTATTTGTTTAAGGAGACATTTGGTTTTATGACAAAGCATACGTTATGAAAAATAAAAATAAAGCCTGAAGCATTTGGAAATATATAATGTATTTTAAAGTTTAAAATAATGGAAAAAAAATAAAAATATGGAATAATTTTAAGTTTATAATAAAATTCCAGAAAAAATTTTTTTTTATTTTTTTTCCAGAATTTCCTATTTATTTGATGAATCTTAAAATAATTCTTTAAACTTTTTTTCTGAAACTTTTCTTCTGAAATTTTTTTTATTTTTTTTTTATTTTTCAAGAAAAAAAATTTTTTTTTTATTTTTCAAAAATTTTTTTATAAACAAAATAAAAACAAGCATAAATAGCCGTGAGAATAATAATAATTATTATTAAAAACGTGGAAGATATCCATGACACCGTGTGTGGGGTCGCTTTTAGGCATTCCAAAAATATAATAAAGTGAAGGATGAGAGGATATATTAATGTTCCCCTTTTACCTCAAATTGAGTCAAGCTTCTTGACGTGTCAGTTTATATCTACCTCCGGTTTGTTTGCCTAGATTTTTTTTACAAAATTTGTTTAAAAATAAATACCAAGTCAGTTAAAGGAAGAAAAAAAATTTTTTTCGGAAACGGCACCGGCTGACTTTTTTTTTAATTTACTCAACAAACACATAAAAACATCAAAAACCTTTTCCTATTTTTTTAAAAATATTTCGGGAAAAATTTGGGGGAAAAATAAATTTTTAAAAAATAATTTTGATGGATGGCAATATTAGTGTATACTTATTGCTTATGAATTTTTAAACAGAAAAAAAAGTTTATTTTTTCTAATATTTAATTGTTTTTAGGTTGGGGATATTCAACAGTTTATCATAAAAAATGAATATTTTATCTAGGCAATTATAAGTGGGAGGGGTTGTTTAGGCGCGCATTAACGTTTGGCGCGAGGCTTAAAATTGCTACTTAGCAGAAACCTAAATTCTTGAAATTTTTCATATAATTTTATGCCAATCTTGCCTACATCCTCCGAAAATTTCAGAATTTTTCCTCACATATTTCTATAGTTATGGTCGATAAACTAGAAAAATGAGGCATTTAATCAACTTTTTTGGCCATAACTTCTGAAATTTTGGCATAAAAATTCTGAAATTTTTAGAGAATGTAGAAGAACATATGAGGAGTGGTTTTGAAAAGTTCAGATTTTATGAGCTTTCGCGCCTGACGATCTCCCTTAACGGTCTTGCCCCTTATTATAAATTCTTTCTCCTATAAATAATAACCCCACAAAAAGGAAAAGCCTATAAAATTTGTTGTTTGTCTAGTCTGATTTTATTTTTTATGGGGACAAAATTTTTTAGTTTTATGGAGACAACTTGGCCCTATAATGTTCACTTTCCGTTCAAATTTATGACAGATCTTGTCTAAGGCCCATAAATAATTTTATGGATTCAAGATTATAAAAATAAAAAATTTCTTATGAGAAAAGTTGCCCTTTATAATGTAAAACATATTTATTAAGGCTTGGAAGAACGCTTTGAAAAAGCATTTTGGAACGTTAAGAAAAAATTTTTTTTAACTGAAACAAAAAAATTTTTTCAATTAACATTAAAAAAATTTTTTTACGTGTTAATTTGGAAGAGAAAAATTGCTTAGAAGTTACCTAGTTGCAAAAATACATATTTTTGGATTTTCCCCTCTATCTCATGAAAAGTTAATCATATGATCCTAATTTTTGCCAGAAAATAGGCAACTCTCATATGATCATAATAAAATAAGTTGTACTTTGAAAACATTTTGTTTAGTTTTTACAATTATTTAAGCCGATTAACCCAAGGGGGGCTCAAAACTTAGTTGACAACTTAAATACCAAAAAAAATTTTTTAAGGAGTTATCTCACTTTATTACTCTATTTTTACTTTTATTACATATTTATTTACATATATTTTATTAAAAAATAGAGGAGAGAAAAGTATAAGAATAATGAAAGATTTAGGAGGGATAGGCGAGAGTGACTCAAAAACTAGTAAATAATCCAATTTTGGCTTTTATGGATATTCTTTTTTTTATTGAAAAGATTTTTGTGTTTTCTTTTTCAACTATAAATTTTGTTGTCAGAGGAGCGGAGAAAATTTGATTTGCCGCCAAGCGAAAGAAAAAAATTTTTAAATAAAAAAAAATTTTTTTTAACTGAAAAAAGGTTACGGGTTGAAGCGCAAGTACACATTATGCATCCTAATATGGAAAATCCTTTTTTGGATGCGATTTAAAATGTTTAATGACTACAAAGAATTTATTAGATATTAATTGAAATATAAATTTGGACTCAGAAATTCTTGAACCCACATATAATTGACCTAAAAACCTTGACCAGGAAAAAACCAGATCCGAAATCAGAAACGAAAAAAGGAAGAGTTTTGAGTCAAGACTCACTACACATACCAAACACATTGGATGGGTCGGCCTCCCAAAACCCTATATGTACCCGAACTTTTTTCGAACCAAACCCGTCCAAAGAAGACTTTGAAAAACCCAACCCGAATACCTGGACTAACTTTTTCCCAACCTACCCATCGCTGCAAATTTCTGCTTAATAATTATAGATTCACCAAAATTATTAAGCAGAGCTCTTATAACAAGATTCCTGGAAGTCTATAAATAAAACAGCATGCCCATATAATGGGGTAATTTAAACGTATTTTGAACTAAAACAAAATTTTCAAAGTTAAACACAGATTTTAAAAACTTTTAAAGAAAAAAGTAAAGAAAAAGTTTCTCGTTTTCCAACAAGAAAATCGTTAGAGCTTAAATAATTGGCCAAATTAAATTTTATTTAAAAAATAGGAAAAAATTAAGGAAAGTTGCGGGAGCTTTGCGCTTCTTTCCAAAATTATCTCTCAATAAAAAAATAAATCGGTCATGCGGACCATGGAATAAATTGAAGAAAAAATGGACTACTTAAAAATTTTTTAAATTTAATTTAGTGTAGTAATTGAAAGGATTTCCTAAAAAAATTATTTTTAGAATTTTTTGTTAAGTTACCATTTTGGAAATAAATTTAATGATGTAAAGCAGGGATCTAGCTGTCACGAACCCCCCAAAATCATTAATCTATTTTTTAAGCCGACTAAATTCTTGATGTATATAAACCTCGGAATAAGCAATCGGATATGAGACTTGATAAGAGAGAGAGAGAGATGAGATGCCTGAAGAATGAAACCTCTTTCAGAAATTTTCTATAAATGAGACGAAATCGGGAAGGGTTATTCTTCCGTTTTAATAGACAGTACCTCTACTGCTAATTGTAGGTTCACAAAAAATTATCCTGCTGTAGATAAGATACTTAATGAAAAAAGAGGAGAGAAATCTCGGTTCTTTGCTAAATTGAAGAAAGAATGATTAAGAAAATTTTAATAATAGAGAAACATTGGCATAAAAAGATTTAGCATTTATAAAAGGATAATAAGCAAAAAAGGATAAAAAGGAGAATAAAAAAAATAAAAATCTTCAAAAATAATTTTAAAAATAATTTTTGGCTTGGAGTAAATATAAAATTTTTAGTAGTTTGCTCTCAATTTTGGAGCCATTTAAAAATATTTTTATTATTGTTATGAATGAATTAAAAATAAATTTAGCAGAAAAGGAAGAAGAACGGGAACAATTTTCCCATGAGAATTTTTATTCCAAATAAAGTAAAGAATAATTATTTTTGGTTCAAGTTGTGGATGAAAGAATAAAAATTAAAAATATTCTGCCAAGAATTAAGCTAAAGTTTTAAAAGTTTAATAATTTTAAAAATCATCTCCTTATACATAATAAAATCTTTAAAAAATCTCTTAACGAAACAAATTTTAAAAAGCGAGTGCAAGAGACGGAAACGCGCAAGAATGGTTTGAAGCTGAATGATCTAACAATAAGATGAAACACTTTCGGCCTTATAGCTCCATCCGCAAGAGGCTCTCACAACTCTTACTTCAAGGGCTCTTCGGCTTTCTACTAATGTTAGACCACTAGCTGAAGGGGAATAGAAAGAGTTTTGCAAAAGCTTAGCCACCGAGCAGGATTGAACCTGCGACCACCTGCTAGTTGTTGCTAGGCGCTTTCGCTCACTATATGCAGAAGCTCTACCTCTGAGCTACCGGGGCATCGACTAATGCTTTCTCTTTTTCCTCTTTAGATCGTTTAACCCCCGCCTAAGCGTTTTAAATGCTGCTGGGTGAATCATCCTTACAGAATATACTTAAGTGATATCTCTATTTTAATGCACAAACCAATCTTAGTGTACGATTTTGTTTCAGACCCAAGGTTGTGAATTATAACGAGTGTCGACTTTAATTTATTAGTAAATTAGTTGAAATTTTCCCCTTTTTTATTTAAAAAATTAAAAAAAACAACCAATTATTATCAAATTAAAATAAACTTTCAAGGTACTAACTATTCAAAAAAAATTAATATTTAATTGCCACAAAAATATTCTGAAAAATAGCCTAAAAAGGCATCAAGCTGTGAGCATATTTTCCACTAAAATGTTTATTTTCAAAAGTATTTTTTAAAAAATTCTGCTTAAACTAACACTAAAAATGCTTAAATATTTTTTATTTTATTTAATTTTTATAATTCTTCAAGCTGAAAAATCAGAAGAATTGAGATTGATAAACAACAGAAGAAAATGTACAAATATGCGGCCGGAAAGAATTGTTCAAATTTTAATGCAGAATTATAGCAGGTATTATAAATTTACTGAAGAAAAATCAGAATTATTAAAAATAATGCAGAATAGGCGTACAAAAAATATTCAGAATTAGTTATACAAAAATAAAATCAGAATTTACAATTTGTAAATTGTAAATTAAAAACGATAAATCAGAATTTAAAATTGTAAAACAATAAAATCATAAATACAATTTGTAAAAAAAGCAGAATTACAATATGTAAAATTGAAATTAAATCAGAATTACAATTTGTAAAAAAAAAATAAAATCAGAATCACGATTTGTAAAATGAAAATTAAATCAGAATTACAATTTGTAAAATAAAAATTAAATCAGAATTACAATTTATAAAATTAAAATTAAATCAGAACTACAATTTGTAAAAAAGTAAAATCAGAATTTACAAATTGTTAAATAATAAAAATCAGAATTACAATTTGTAAAATTTATATAAAATCAGAATTATAATTTGTAAAATTAAAATAAAATCAGAATTACAATTTGTAAAATAATAAAAATCAGAATTACAATTTGTAAAATAATAAAAATCAAAATTTACAAATTGTAAAATACAAATGGAATCAGAATTACAATTTGTAAATAATAAACATCAGAATCATTATTAATTTGTTTACTTGATTGATTAAACATTAAAATTACAATTCTAATTTTAAATAATACAAATCAGAAGTATAAAAACTAAAACACAAAATCAGAATTATAATTAAAAATAAAATAAAAAATCAAAATAAAATAAAAAAAACTTTCAGAAGCGTAGCTCCAGCCAACCCAGTTGCTGTTCAAGTCGAAGCAACCATTCAGGATATTAATGAACTCTCAGTATTGAGCAATTTTGGTCAAATTAATTAATTTAAAAATTATTTTTGAATTAATTTTTTAGTCTCTGCTGACCTTTGGTTCAGTGCTCTTTGGAATGATCCTCGATTGAAATTCTCTCACTTGGACCCCTGCCGAAAAAACCTTTCATTTGACGAAACTTTTGAAAAGCATCTCTGGTCACCCAATGTATGTTTGGTTAATACAAAATCATCAAGAGTTCATGCTTCACCTAAACCCAATGTTTTGCTTATGTTGCTGGCCAACGGGACTGTTTGGCTTAATTATAGGGTTAAATATTTTGATCAAAATTCTGATCAGACTTTAAATTTTAAAATAAAAATTCTGATTTTTCACAATTCTGATTTTGATTATTTAAAATTAATTTTTCAGAATTATGATTTTTCTGATTTTCTGATTTTTCAGAATTCTGGTTTTTCCGATTTTTCAAAATTCTGATTTTTCTGATTTTTTCAGAATTCTGATTTTTCTGATTTTTTTAGAATTCTGATTTTTTTCAGAATCCTGATATTTTTGAATTTTTCAAAATCCTAATATTTCTGAATTTTTCAGAATTTTATTTTTTTTCATGCTTTCTGATTTATTCTGATTTTGTTATTATACAATTCAAAGTTAAGGTCCAAGTTGAAGCACCTTGCGAATTTCAAATTTCTGATTTTCCTATGGATTCTGCCCGATGCCAATTAGTTTTCGAGTCCTATTCCTACAACACCGCAACCGTTACAATTGACTGGATGCCTTCAGCCTTAACTTTACAATTTGAAGAAATAAGTGCTTCAGACCACCAGTTGGTACATACAAAACTGTTTAAGCACACAGAAGTAGTTTTGACTGTTTAAAATTTATTTTGGATTTTTTACAGTATTACAAAGCAGGAGAATGGTATAGGTTAACTCTTGAAATGGGTTTTAGACGTCGTTATGGTTATTATATCCTACAGGTCTGAAATTTATGTTACAGTCGGACCTCACTACAACTGAAATACCCCAAGCTACTGAATTAATAGTCCTTATAATAGGAGCATTAGAGACTGAATTAGAGAGCTTAGGAGCTCTCTGATTAGCTTAGGTGCTCTATAATTAGCTTAGGAGCTCTCTAATCCTGTAGCCAATAGTAAGAAGTAAAGGTTTGGTTTAGCTCTTGCAGTCATCGACCCTTCGAACTTCTGGGCCCGTATCATAAGAACGTGGGTTGGCTAAGGGATCTAGCTCGTTGTAAAGACATGTAATCCACGCCTAGAAAGATGCGTGGATTAACTGGGAGGTTATGTTTATAGAAGTAGACTTGAAGTAACTTGTAATGAAATTTGACCAAAAATTCAAAAATCATCAAAAATACCTTCAAGGTTTATGCCAACACCTACATTAATGTTTTCCTGTCTTGGATCGCTTTCTGTATTTCCTTAAAAGCTTTATCTGCACGAGTTATTTTATCAGTTAACACGTTGATTTCTCTATGTGTTCAGGTAATCTTGACAGCTATTAATTTTGTTTAATTTAACAAAAAGTTTGGCAATATTATCAGCTCGTTACCTCCAGTTTCTTATGTTAAGGTAGGTTAAACAGGGAACATTTCACTGTATGACCATTTTAAATTTTCTCCATTAAGCCAATAGACGTCTTTATGTTTGTGTGTATTGCATTCATATTTGCCTCATTATTGGAAATGGCTTTTATCTCCTACAAGTTATGTATTCCATCTTGTATTCCATCCATGAATAAATTTTAGGATAAAAAAATGCTTCGACGCTCAATCAGATTTAGTGTGGGTGTCGGATCTCTCTTTGATTTGGCCTGCTTGAATAAAGCTTTGGCTGAAACAGCAGCTGATTTTGGGGGTAATGTTGGGGCCATAACTGGGGTACGTCGTAAGCCTTCTCATCAGGTTGATGCTGGGGATGAGTATGGTGAAAACGAGAGTTTTGGTTCTAGCGGGAGACAGGTAGTTGGAATTGTTGTTTTAAAAGAGTTCTGGCATGTTGACATTTCGAAATTTTTTGGGTTGTTGACATTTTGAATTTCTATTGGGGTTGGACATTTTGAAAAATCTTTTAAATTTACCATTTTGAAATTTGACATTTTGAAATATTTTTTTATAGTTACCATTTTGACATTTTGAAATATTTTTTATAGTTACCATTTTGAAATTTGACATTTTGAAATATTTTTTTATAGTTACCATTTTGACATTTTGAAATATTTTTTATAGTTACCATTTTGAAATTTGACATTTTGAAATATTTCATGTTTTAAAATTTAAATTCAAATTACAGAGTGAATCCCTCCTCGATGAGATTGTCAGACGCGATTCTCTCCCAAACATGCCGAAAAAAATGGCCAAAAAAATTTTACGAAAACAACAAAACAAATATTTGTCTAGAGGACATCGAATTGATCAATGGTCATTTTTCCTCTTTCCATTAGCCTTCTCTTTTTTTAATGTGTTGTATTGGGCTTATTATTTGGGCAGACGAAGGCATGAATAAATTTATTGATTAAAAAAATTTTTTTTTAATTTTTCTATTGTCTGTTTAAAATTTTAAGAAAACAAAGGAATTTACTTCCTTCACTTCCCTATTCCCTTTAATTTTAAATTTAAAGGAAAAAATTTTTTTTAATTTTTCTATTGTCTGTTTAAATTTTATAGACAATAAAGAGAATTTACTTCCTTCTTCACTTCCCACTTCCTTTTAATTTTAAATTAAATTTTAAATTTAAATGAAATATTTTTTTGACTGTCTTTTTAAATTTTTTATTAGTCCCTTCCGGCAGTTTATAGTAGGGTTGCGCGAGGTCGAGGTTTTTCGAAAAAACCGAGACCGAGGATCGCCGAGACTGAAAAAGCGAGGTTCGAGGTCGAGGGTCAAATTTGAGGCGAGGTCCGAGATCGAGGTTCGAGGATAATCGAGGATTTTAAAAAATTTTTAATCTTTTGAAAATTTTATTAAATTAGCTAAATTTTATCAGATATATGCTAAATAACTCAAACTAATAAGTTCCATCATTTTCAGATCCTTTAGGGTACCAAATATAGATAAGACAACTCATATTCTTGGTCAAATAATTGCAAAACTTTGATCAAAATTTTCAAATACTTTGGAATCCCAATACCGCCCAACTCTACTTTGGAATATAAATTTTATGAGTCTGGAAAATCAAATCATTTGATACTTTGAAACTATTTGATCATCTGGTACAGCGGATTAAGACTTATATCGAAGAATCAATGGGAATGACAAGAGGATTTTTGAAATCAAAACAGAGTTCTTGCCTTTCCAGCGCCGCAGGCGAAAATTTGAAATTTTTGGTAGGCCAAGAAGCCAGATTTCATTCTTTTTTGCGCCGCAGGCGAAAATTTTGAGATTCTTGGAAGCTCAATAAGCAAAAATTCTTCCATTTCATCCAAAAAAGTCCATTCTTAGGGGTGTATATTTAGCCTCGTTCCTCGGCGAGGTTCTTGGCGAGGATCGAGACCGAGGCTCCGAGGCCGAGGCTCGGTCGAACAAAGACCGAGATTGGAAAATGGGCGAGGACCTCGACCTCGGCCTCGGCGAGGCCTCGACCTCGCGCAACCCTAGTTTATAGAATTAAAAAAATATTTTCAATGGTCTAGTCTAGTGTCTGTCCTCCTCATTTAAATTCCTCCAGAATAACCCCTCATATTAATTGTCGCAGTAAATTGTAAATTGTCGCGGTAAAATTGAGAGAGACCGGAGAGGGAGAAAGATTGAGAGAGAGATTTAAAATTGAGAGAGACTAGAGACCGGAGAGATTTCGATCAAAAATCTCGGTTATCGAGGCTGAGAATTTTTTCGAGATCTCGATTTTCTTACGAGCTCCCAGTACGATCTCTACTGGTTACTCTCCATCAATCAACACATCTTTCAATTAAACAGCGTTTGTGAGGTCTTACCCGAAACATTGAGTTGTTCCCTTCCAAAGGAGGAAGATCCCTCTATTTTTCACCTCAAAATGATTTTATTTATTTATTTATCAGCAAACCACAGGTATTTTAAAATACATTAATGTGGTGCAAAAAAATGTTCCCGAAAAGAGAGTTTAATGTTCCCGAAAAGAGAGTCAAATCAACATACAAATCAACACACTATAGCAAATAATATCAACAACTTTTACAAGATCAAAGCCGCCGACTTTTTTTACAAAAAAGTTAAGCGCGTAAATGTAGTCTGTATTTTAATTGAATTTGCACTATTGATTTTTTTCCTTAAAAATTTTTCTTTAAAAAAATTTTTTTATTGCCCTCTCCCCTCCTTTAATGCCTCTTTAAAATCCACCCTCCCCTCCTTTAATTGCCCTCCCCTCTCCCTTCCCTTAATTGCCTCTCTAAAAATCCCCCCTCCCCTCCTTTAATTGCTCTCCTCTATCCTCCTCCTTTAAAATTGCCTTCTCTCCCCTCTCTCCTGTCAATTTTGTCAAAAAAATTTTTTCTTGCCCTTTTATTAGACATATGATTTTCTCCTCCCCTCTCACTCTTTGACTTTTAAATTTTTTTTATTTAATGCCTTAAAAAGAATTTTTATTTTTAATTACCCCCTCTGTTTAACGTTAATTATTTAACAACTTATTCAAAAAAAGTGAACATGAGAGTTTTTATTTTAATTATTTTGTTCATTTCATACTGTAAATCGGCCCACAAAGTGTCACCATCATTCGACAATCTCGAGGTTAAAATACCTCTACAGCAAGAAGCAAACATCCCTTCAAGGAAAAATGAATCAAATTCTACTACGATCAGTAACAAAAGCTCTACGGAACCAAAAGAACCGTGGATTGGTAAGTTTGACATTTTGAAATGTTTTGGGCATATTTGGCATTTTTAAATTTTTGGGGGTTTTTACATTTTTAAACAGTTTCCGCTTAGTTGACATTTTGAAACATTTTCGCGTTAGTTGACATTTTTAAACATTTTAGAGGTAGTTGACATTTTAGAATGTTTTGGGGTATTCGACATTTTGAAACATTTTGGGGCAGTTGAAATTTTTAAACATTTTGAGGGTATTGAACATTCTGAAATATTTTCGGGGTAGTTGACATTTTGAATATTTTGAGGTATTTGACTTTTAATTTTCAGCAGAAAAAGAATACAGTATCAACGATTTGATAGTCGAATTTGAGGTTCACGTTGATGTTCAACAAGCCTGTTTGGAGAGTACAAAATTCATGTGCGATTTATTCGAAAACAAGCACAATAAAGACAAAGAGAACGGCAATAAAGAAAATGAATTAAAATTAAAAAATAAAATGTTACTAAAATTATTTAAAGCTTCAGAAGCAATAGTAGGGGAAGTAAAAAAGTTGATAGGTGAATTTGAAGAAGTATTTGATGAAGGATTAAAAGAAGAATTGGATGAACAAGAAAGCTACAAGAGAAGATTTTATAAAAATCAAGGGCGAAGATTGAAGGATTTGGACCTTTATTACTACATTCCTGAAGTATTATTTCTTGATTCCTTGCCAGATTATGTTATGGGTGGATTAAAAGATTATGATACTGACAATGAATTTAAGACAAATAGGGCAAGATTGTTTAGCAAATTTTTGAGTAATAAGGAAGATGTGTGTGTTGAAAATGAAGAAGATAATGAAGAGGGAGAAGTTGTGGTTGTTGAAGAAGACGTCGAAAAGAATACTTGGCAGAAAGCATACAATGCATTTAAGAGACAATTGTCTGGGAAGAAGAAACAAGGGTCTTTAAAGAAACAAGGGTCCTTCAAGAAAGAAGAGCCTTTGACAAGACATGAGTCATTGAAGAAACTAGGGTCTTGGAAGAAACAGAATTCTTTAAAGACACAAGGATCCTTCAACGAGACTTTGAAGAAGCAAGAGTCTTTGAAGACACAAGGGTCCTTCAATGAGACTTTAAAGACACAAAACCCTTTCTTTCTTGGAAATTGCAAACCGAACTGGAGAGATGTTGTTAAATATACGACTAGATTAAATGATATTTGCAAGGTCTTCAAAATGAAGGATGTTGATACTCTTTTACTTACAAAAAAGGACAAATTTTATTTTAATATCGAGCATAGAAAAAATTTACGCAAATTAAATAGGTAATTTTTTGATAAGTCTGTATCTTTCGATATTTTCCATTTTGAAATTTGGACATTTTAATTTTTTGTGTAATATTTTGTCATTTTAAATGTTGGATTCTCCCATTGAAAACATAGCAACAGTTGGGAAAAACAAAATTTAGGGCTCTTGCCCAGATTATGCGTCAAAATGCACCTTTACAAGTCCAATCGGATAACAAGCAGAACATGTCTATTAACGTAGATTGGACGCATACAGGTTCATTGGACGCTTAAAACTTTCATTGGACACGTAAAGATTGATTGGACGCTAATCTTTACAAGAGCATAATCTGACCGGGGATCAAAAAATTTTTTCCGGAGGGTTCTCAAATCAAAAATCGTTATATAGTATTTATTTTTAATAATCTATTAAATTTCTACAGATTGGTTGATCTTCGAGAAAAAATCAAAAAAGAGGAAGATATTCAAATACCAATTATCCATATAGGCAAAACAATTAGACAACAACATACAATTCATTCTTATGACTTGATGTATAAAGCAAAAGCAATAAGAAACTATGAAAATTATTTAAAAACAGTGGATAATACAAAAATTGAGGGATTGAAAAAAATAAAAATTTTGTTAGAAAAATTGTTTATTAAATCCAATGAAATTAAACAAATATTTGAATTTGGGAAGAAATTATGTAATTTTGAAAATAATGAACAACTGGAGGAATTAATTAAAGAGGTGAATTTTGCCGGTTATTGAAAATTTTTTTAATATCGAGTTAGGTGCCGGAATTATAACCCTATATATTATGTCCTATGGTCCGGTCGTCATACACTAGAAGGTGTATATTCATTAGAAGGTGTGTATCTAAATTTTCAGAAAATTTGAAAAACGACATTTGATACCCGTGTTTTAGGATTGGTTTTTATTAGGGTGTAACATAAATAATTAGCCCCTCCCCTTGTGGTAAAGGATTAAATAATCATTAAAATTCAGCTAAATGTTTTCAGACATCATTAATATTTTTCTATGATCCTAAAAGAGTTGCCTATTTTCTGGCAAAAAATCAGAATCCTAGGATTAAGTTGGCAGGAGTTAGAGGTGAAATACTAAAACTTGTATTTTTTAAACAAGGCTTAAATAGATTGGAATTCTGTGAGATATGAATTTTCAAACTTCATTGTTTAAGCGGGGGCTAATTATTTATGTTACACTCTAATACATAATCAAATCCTTCAATATAGAATAGTAAAGCAGCCGGGCTATAGCTATTTCTCTCCTTTAGCTAGTGCAAAAGGTTAATCGGCGGCTGGGAGCGAACCAGCATCTTTAGTAGACCGGACTGATGTGTTAGCCATTACACCAACCCGCCTACTGCACAGCCTTAGGAAATTAATAGCTACATGCTTTACAGAATATACATAATGAATATACACATTTTTAGTTAACTACAATAAACAACACGAATCACGAACATGCTAAGAATAATTTAGAACTAGCCAAATCATCACTTGCATTTCTAAGATTTGTTAATCAACACAAACTTGGAATAGATAAGATAAAACAGATAACACCTCCAAAAAAGGAAATGAAAAATATTCAAATTTTTTATATGAGTTTACAAAATCGAAACGTTGTTTTAAATAAACCAAAAGTTATGTTAGCTAAATTAAATGTCAAGCTACTAAAAGATATACTAAAAGAAGGGAAATTTAATTTAGATTTTTTGATTGAAAGTTTCAATGATTTATACGGGGAAAACGAGGAGGTCGCCCAAAAGTTATATGAATTTATGGAAGATTGGGAGCTTATTAGCTTTGATAAACAAATTAAAGAGATTAAGAAGATAAAAAGCGAATATGAAGTGGAGCGGAATAAGAGGGAAGAGGGGGAAGAGAATGAAGATGAGGAAAGCAAGGAAGAAGAGAAAGTGAAGGGCGAGAGGGATGAAGATAACAAAGACAAGGAAGAGAAGAAGGAAGAAGAGAAGAAGGAAGAGAACAAAGAAGCTAATCCATCATATCCCTATACCATCCAAGAACTTGAACTAAAAAATGACTGTGTAACAATGCTCTTTAAAGAAAAATATATAATTAAAAAATTAATTGTTGAAGAGTTTAAGAAAAAGGGAACTGTGGATTTTACAAAAATGTTTGAGGAAAAGAAGACTGATGAAGTGAAAAATGATGTTACTAAGGGGAAGATGCTTAATCGTGTTAAATCGGCTGAAATTGTGATGAAGAAGAATGAACCAGAAAATGGAAGGAAAAGTAGTGTGTTTTCCGAGTTTACTAAACATGCATATTCGCTTGTTCCAAATGTAAAATTAAGCTTATCTAGCGTTTTGCCTTTCCATTAAATTTAAGTTTTGTTTTTACTCATAAAGTCCTTTTCTAAATTATAAGACCATCCATTTTTTGTTCTCTATTAACAACTTATAGCTATTTAAATCCTAAAGATGTGCAGATTGCGGGCGGCGTGCTAGAGTTGGAACTTTCCAGGTTGCCGACACAATGTAGTTTTTTTTCAGAATGACAGGGCAGGGCTTTTACTTGTTAAATTCTGAAAACCCGGATTTGTCAAAATATCTAGTTCTATTACTACCTTGCCCGGTAAACCCGGTGTTTGCCCAAGTTTGAATTCTAGAAATATCTATAGCCAAATCATTTTACTATAAGAATAGTAAAGCACCCTTTTTATCATCTATTCTTTACGATTTTAGCTACCGCAAATGAAAACAACCACCTGGGGCTTTATTTCAAACAAATTTTAGCATTATTTGACACTCGATGTCAAGTCTTTTCCATTAAAATGCAAGTCCATTCCATTACCGATTACCTCTCGGTAGAGATTTTCCTATACCCAAAATTGAACCGAAAATTGTCAATTTATTATTTAATTTTCATTATTACCATTATTTAAATTTCCATTATTTATTATTATCCATTATTTTATCTGAAATTTTTTTACCTTACTGTGTAAATGAAACTTTCAACCTAAATCCATTATATATTATTTTTAAAATTGTAAATTTTCAAGCATTTGTATAAATTTAAGGGATGTAATTTTATAAAATTTGGTAAACTTCAAAATTATAAAAATAAATTGATTACTTAATCATACAACAGCAGACTAGCAAGCGAAATAGCGAAGAAAATGTTATTTATCGGGCAGAACGCCAAGCAATTAAAAATTTATTTTACTTATTTCTTTTGCTTCTTATTTTTCCATACTCTTTTTATTTAATTTATACAAATCGATGTTATTAGGTTTGAAATCCAATATCTCTAAAACTTTTGCAATTTTTTAAAAAAATGTTGAAACCATATCATACATAATTATTTTAAGATTTTTAAAAAATTTCGTGATTATGATTGCAAATAAAGTTAATGCGACAGATGTTGACTCGAGAATCATATCTTCAAATGGCTAAGACTGGATGGGCTAAACAACAATAAAAAAGAATAAACTATCTAACAATTTAATTAAAGCAAATGAAATAAAACAAAAGACCATGTATGTCGAAGCAAGGAAGTCGTAATCAGTTTCTAGTGTTTAAAATAATTTTTAGTTTTCACTAATTAAGTCCATCGCCAATCTACTCCCGAACCAAAATCTAAACAAGTAGAATCACAGACAGAAAAAACAATTAGTTGTAAAGAAATAAAAACCAAAATTCAATGGTTTTGTTTTTTAAATTTATTTAGCTTATTTTTAATTAAGGATTTTAACAGGCGTTGTTAAGTTCATTTGGTCTTTTATGGAGCATCAAGGATTAGGTGCCCGATATCCTTCCCGATATGTGAATCAACCAAAACTGAATTATGCGAAAAGATGGAACCGAAAAGGACTTTGGATTGAATCGTTACAAACGCAAAATTGTTTTTGCGTTTGAATCAAATATAATTTTTTTCACTAATTAAGTCCATCGCCTTTATTTTCTTACCCTTATCTTCCGCTATTTTCCCTGCGCGTAAACACTTTTACCAAATGAACCATCAAAATCTAACGTTCGAGTTTTTGATTTAAAATTATTTTTTGATTAAAATAACTACTTAATGATATTTTAATTATTTATTAAATCATTAAAATTGTTATTTTTATATTTAAAATTTTTTTTTCATTAAAAACAAATCAATTTTAAACCGTTGGGATATAACAGAGACCCAATTTTAAAACGATTTCGTAGTTGTATTTTTTAAATTTTATCTTGATTTTATTTATGCTCCTTTATTTTCTTGCTCTTATCTTCCGCTATTTTCCCTGCTTGTCTGCCTTGCATAATGGAAGCAAAAAATGATTTTACTTAACATTAGTAGGATATATGTAGCTGTGAACTGGATGTGTATTATTAGAAAGGTAATTTCCATTAAAATTTAAATTAGGTATTTTTTTCGCCGAAGTGCCGACAACTTCACAAGATCAAAGCCGGCAGAATCTTTAAAAAAGTTGAAGCGCGTATAATTATGTAGTCTGTATTTTAATTTAATTTTTACTCATTAATTTTTGTTTTCTTAATTTTTTTTATTTTTTCTTGCCCTTTATCCTCCTCATTTATTTGCCTTTTTAAAAATCCCTCCTCTCCCCCCTTCTCCCCTCCTGCCAATTTTGTCAATAAAAAATTTTTTCCCTTTTCTTGCCCTTTTATTAGACATATGATTTTCTCCTCCCCTCTCAACATCGACTTTTTAAATTTTTTATTTATTTAATGCCTTAAAATAATTTTTTTTACTAATTACCCCCTCTGTTTAACGTTAATTAGTCAACAACTTGTCCAAACTAAATTGAATATGAAAGTTTTTATTTTAATTTTTTTGTTTGTCTCATACGTTAAATCGGCCTACAAGGCTTCTTCATATAGCAAAGAATTTGTCATGTCTAGTCCCAAAATCGCTCCCTTGAAAGAAGCCAACATCCCTCCAACTAAGGCATTGGCTGGTCCTAGTTTCGAAAGTTCTTCGAAACAAAATCGACCGCCGATTGGTAATTTTGACATTTCTTAAGGGTTTTTAAAATTTTAAATGCCTTTTGGTTCTTGACATTTTGAAATATTTTGAGTTTTGGTATTTTGAAACATTATGGGTTGATGGATATTTTGAGATATTTTCTGGGTAATAGATATTTTGAAATATTTTGGGGTATTGGTAATGTTGACTTTTTTCAGGTTATTTGACATTTTTAAATTTTCAGCGGAAAAAGAATACAGTATCAACGATTTGATAGTTGAATTCGATGTTCACATCGATGTTCAACAAGCCTGTTTGGAAAGCACAAAATTTCTTTCAGATTTACTCGGAAATCAACAAAGTGAATTCCAAAACAAAGAAAATAAATTACAGTTAAAAAATAAAGTGTTATTAAAATTGTTCGAGGCTTCAGAAGCTGGAGTAGAAGAACTCAAAGAGTTAATTAAACAATTTGAGGAGGAATTATACAAAAAGGGATTATTTAAAAAATTAGAGGACGAGTTGGAATACAAGACAATCTATTACAAAAATAAAGGGAAAAAATTGAAAGAGGCTGACATTTTTAATTGTTTACCCGAACAACTTTTCCTAGATTCACTTCCAGGGTTGTTACGTGTTGATTTAATGGATGAAGATTGGATTGAAAGAAGGGCCAGTCTTTTTAAAAATTTTTTGAAGACTAAAAGGAATGAAGAAAAAGAGGAGGAGGAGAAGCAAGCAGAAACGGAGAATCAACCAAAAACTGCAAACAAATGGAAAAAAGCTGTGACTTTTGCTTTAAAAAATAAAGCATCCCCTAAAGATTCTTTGAGAAACATAATACATACTATGATTAAATTAAGAGATGTTTGTATTATTTTTAATGAGAAAGATGTTGATAATCTTTTAATGATAAAAAAGGATTCGTTTTATTATAATATTGAAGAAAGAAAGAATTTTCGCAAGTTAAACAGGTATCTGATGTTATGAGATTTTTAAATTTAGACTTTTAACTACTTAAAATATACAGAATAGGATCTATAAGTAATATCGAAAAACAAAAAGCTTGTAATTTATGCGATCGGTCTGAAAATATTAAATTTTTCTGGCTTTCGATAACTAGTGCGCAATTGACTAACCTCGACGGATTATTTACTGTTGTATTCCGCAGATTGAATATTAATTAGCAGAAATAATTAGTTGTCATCAATCGAAATGTTTATTTTAATTTATTAGTGTTTTACTAAAGCTCGCTTGCTTTGACAATCGATGACACATTTGCATATTAAAGAGTTGGGCTAGTCCGGATCCCAACATATAATTCAGGGTTTTTCCTGTTGTTACTCCCCATCTTACACACCCATGTATGATCGAAATATACTGAAGAGATTTATCTATCAGATAAATCTAATAAAAAAATTTATTTAAAATAGTAAATAAAAGATTAAAATGAATTGAAATAAAATATGACATAAAATCGGTCAAACAATTTTCTAATATATTGCATAGCCGCTTGGGGGTTGGGCACTTTTTTTGTCCAATAGTCTGGGAAAGGTAGCTTGGCTTTTTTGGCGATCGTTATCTTCCTAGCCTGCAAAAGAAAGAATAAAATTAGTGTAAAGCACATATATTAATTATTGTATGGAAAACGAATGTCGCATGGCCAAAGGAAGATATTTCGTGAGCGAACATTTTACTTTGTCTCAATGTGCGCTCGTGACATTAACTTCTTGCACTCCATTTGTAACAGGGGTGTGCCAAAAAGTCATTTTAAAAAACGAAAGGTAAAACATTAAAAAAGGTGAAATTTTGGCGAAAGGCCACAGCCTAACTTTCTAAAGTTTTCTCCAGACGTAATAGCGAGGGCTAAAAATAAGTAACCTGTCTATTTTCCCCCAGATTTGTTGATCTTCGCGAAAAAATCAAAAAGGAGGAAGATATTCAAATAACAAATATTCAACTAGACAGAATAAATAAATCAGGAATAATTCAACGGATTAATTTGAAATTGAAAGATGAATTGAAGGAAGAAATAGAAAACTATGAAAATTATTTAAAAACAGTAGATAATACAAAAATTGAGGGATTGAAAAAAATAAAAATTTTATTAGAAAAATTATTTATTAAATCCAATGAAATTAAACAAATATTTGAATTTGGGAAGAAATTATGTAATTGTGAAAATAATGAACAAGTGGATGAATTATTTAAAAAGGTGAATTTTGACGGTTCTTGAAAATTTTTAATATCAAGCTTAATCCACACAAATGCCGCTTAATCCATTTATATCCTTTATAATCCTCCGATATCGGTCGATACAGCACTGCTACATAATATTCAATAAATAAAACATATTCTAAGGTAAAGACAATTCACCAAAAGAATCACAAATATGCCAGCAACAATTTAAAATTAGCCAGATCATCGCTTGCATTTTTAACTTTTGTTAATCAGCACAAGCTTGGAATTGATAAAATAAAAAAGATAACACCTCCAAAAAAGGAAATGAAAAATATTCAAAATTTTTATTCAAATTTGGCAAACCGAAAAAATGATGGGAAAATACTCTATTTTTTAAAAGGACAAACGTTTAATTTAGATTATCTAATTAAAATATCTTCTTATGGAGGAAAACCCGAAGAGAGTTTGGCCAATAAATTCTATAAATTTATGAAAAAACGGGAGCTTAGTTTTGTTGATCAAATTAAAAAGTTTATTGAGAAGGTGAAGAAGGAAGATGAGGAGAAGGAAGCGTATCCCCTCAAAATCTCTATTCCTTAAAATCTCTACTGGGCTAAAATGCCTTATAATCTCTACACAGCTAAATTGCATTAAAATCTCTACTCGGCTAAAAATGATTAAAATAACTATTCCTTAAAATCTCTATTCCTCATAATCTCTACACGGGTAAAATGCCTTAAAATCTCTACACGGCCAAAAATAGGATAAAATGTCTATTTTTTCATTCGGAAGCCTTTTGAGTGCCAACGTTCAGTGCGGAAACGTTGTTCTGATTTCTGGCTTATCTTTTGATATTATTTTGCTTGTATTGTTTTTGCCGCTGCGGATGAACCCAGGCATGTCCAGCGGAACGACAGCAGCCGCTTCGATACGATCACCGCAAGCAAAATGAACACGACCGCAGCGAAACAGTCGTGTATTATATCTTCGATATTTACGGCGGATACAAGCAGATATCCGCAGCCATTTTTAAATCAATTGTATCCATATCCGTATCCATTACCAAGTCTAGGTTTCCAATGAAAAGTTCATATTTTACACTTTTGTTGAGACTCTACCGTCCATTTGCACGGTGTAGAGATTTTAATTATTTTTACCCCAGTAGAGATTTTAAGGAATAGTTATTTTAAGGAATAGAGATTTTGTATGGGAGCCGAAGGAAGAGAGGGAGGAGGAGAATGAAGGTAAGAATGAAGCGAGGGGAAAGGAGGAAGTGAAGGAGGAGGTGAATGAAGGGGAGGATGAAGAGAGGGAAGAGGAAGAAGTTCAAGAGGAAGAGGATGAAGAGAGGAAGAAGGGGAAGGATAAGGTAGAAAATGAAGGGAAGAATGAAGAGAAAAAGGAAAAGAAAGACGTGGAAGAAGAGCAGGAGGAAGAGATCAATGAAGAAGATCAAGACAACAAAGGGGAAGAGGATGAAGAAAAGGAAGACGAGAATGAAGATGAGGATGAGAATGAAGACGAGGAAGAGAATGATGATGAGGATGAGAATGAAGATGATGAAGAGGATGAAGAGGATGATGAAGAGCAGCAAGAGGAAGCTAATGAGGAGAATAATTTACAATATCCCTATACAATCCAAGAATTTGAACTAAAAAATGATTGCTTAATCATGCTTTATAAGGAAAAATATATAATTAAAAAATTAATTTTTGAAGAGTTTATAAAGAAAGGAACTGTGGATTTTACTAAAATGTTTGGGAAAAAGAAGAATGGTGGCAGGCCTAAGCTTATTCGTGCTAAATCGGTTGAAATTCCAATAAAGAAAAATGAACCAGAAAATGAACGTGTGTCTTCGGTGATTTTTAAATCTGCTGCAACCCTTAAATCACGTTTTTCAAGCCTTCTTCCTTTCAACTAAATTTTGGATTTGTTTTTACTCATATATCCTCCACTAACACCTCTATACCGTATTTCCTCTAAAATAGCTCCAGCCTCCAAAATAACCCCTACCTCTAAAATAGATAAGGTGGATATTGGGATTTAGAGACATTTTGGGTATTTGGGGTTTCGAGGGGTTTTAGGAATTAAAATGGATATGTGGGGCATTTGAGAGGATTAATAGATATATTACCTAATATCTAAAATCCCTTGTTATACCCATCAAATCTCTTTATTCTTCATTAATCTCTGAGAAGAAATAGCTATAATTCAGTCCATCTTCACTGAATTAGCGGCCAATTTTTCAAAGTTTTCTCGATTAATTCCCCACGTTCGAAAATTTCCCATCTAGGGATAGGTTGAAACAACAATTCCCCACCACCAATATCCTACTGCGCGTTCAAATTTCAATCCATCCTATGGATGGATTGAAAAAGTCTTCCTTCTCTTAACTCATAAGAGGAATTAACGTAAATCTTCTAATAGTAGAAGCACAGTCTCTAATAGAAGCACACCCTACGAGAGGATCGCAAAGTAGCAGCACACGTGCTTCAATTAGAAGATTTACGATAATTCAGTGTTTTCTTTTGATGTTAAAAATTTTCTTTATTTTTCATTCATTTGTATAAATTGTAAGGTAATCAAAATTTGTATAAAATCTGGTATAGTTCAAAAATAATCGAAATATATATTTATTATTTAATCACATATGGAATGCAAAAAATGATGATTTTAATCAACATAAATAGACTAAAGCTAGGAACGATATCTGGGTTCTTATGTAGAGATGTCGCTCTCCATATCCATTTCACTGTCCCCCTTCCTAGTGATGCTGAGGAGAATAAAAACCCGGGAAACGGGAGTCGGTTCAGCAAATGACTTCGGAAGTCGGGATCGGGATACCCGAACATGACTACTTCATGTTCCTTTTCCCTTTCCTAGTTACCGGATTTAAAGAAGTGTTGTCTTTTTCCCCTGTCTCTCTTCCCTCTCCTAATTTCTTATCATTTTCCCGTCCTCTCTTTTCCCTGTCTCCTTTTCCTAGCATTTATCAACAAGTTTCAGGATGGAACCGGGCTTGATCACAAATCCATAGGTTCTTCGGGCCTGATTCTCTCTTTGCCTATGGTTCTTCCGTCCTTCCCATTCTTCTCTGAGTCCCATTTTTTGTTCCCTATCATTTCCAAATTCCTAGCTCTAATTAATTTCCTAATCAGTCATAATTAAATACACAAATAAAGTATGTATTTAGGAGGTAAAAATAATCACAAAAATGGGAAGATTTATATTAATTAAATAGGCATTATCCCCATTAATGCATCCAAAACTAGCCAAAAATTGTTTGATGAAGCTGTATTATTTTCATCTTCTTCCGTTTTGGTCTCTCCCTTCTCTTCAACTCCCTTCTCTTCAATTTCTTCTCTTCCCTCATTATTTGTAGTTTCGTTCGTCTTCGACCCAGAAGCGCTTATTGAATGTACCAACCTTTCTATCTGTATTGTTGCTTCTCCACTTACTTCATCATCCTTCTTTTTCTCTTCTTCTTCGGGTTTTCTGTCAGTCTCTTCATTTGGCTCCTTTCCCTTTCCTTCTTCCCCTTTTTCACCAACTCCCTTTTCTTTCTCCTCTAACTCTTTCTCTTCCTTACTTGCATTTGAGACTTCTTCAGTCTTCTCTTCATTCTTCTCTTTATTCGTCTCTTTCAACGTATCTTCGCTTCTCTCCTCCTTTTTCTCTTCAATCCCTTCTTTTTTCTCGTCCTTTTTATCATCAACGCCTTTTTTCTTCTCTTCAACTTCTTTCTTCTCTTCCACCTCTTCTATTTTCTCTACTGCAGCTTGTTCTTTCTTATCTTCTTTGTCGTTTTCCTTTTTCTCTTCTACTTCTTTCTTATTCTCTTCAATTACTCCCTTCTTTTCTCCTTCAATTTCTTCCTCATTTTCCTTTACTCCTTCTTTTCTCTTTTCTTCATTTTTTTCCTTCTCATCTTCTACTACTTCCTTTTTCTCTTCAACGCCTTTATTCGACTTTTCAATATTTTCTACACTGACTTCCTTCTTCTCTTCTTCATTCTTTTTTTCTTCCTTTTTCTCTTCTATACCTTCCTTCTTCTCTTCTTCCTTTTTCTCTTCTATACCTTCCTTCTTCTCTTCTTCCTTCTTTTCTTCAACGACTTCCTTCTTCACTTCCATTCCTTCTTTCTTCATTTCTGCACTATCTTCCTTTTTCGCCTCTTCAGTCTCTTCTGTTTTTTCTTTAGCTTCTACCTTCTTTCCTTCTAATCGTTTCGATTCCTCATTCATTTTATCAGCTTCTGCTTTCCCCATCTCATCTTTATCCACCTTAACATTAAGTTCATTCTTCAATATAGCCTTGTTCTCTATTTCTTTCCTTTTTTCGTTATCAATAACCTCGTCTACTTCTTCCTTCCTTGCTTCACTGGCTTCATTATCATCCTTTTTATCATCTTCCTTTTTAGCGTCTTTTACTTCATCTTCTTTCTTTTCTTTTAATACATCTTCTCTTTTCTTTTCTTCTTTTACTTCCTCTTCTGGTGTCTCTTTCTTTACCTCATCTTCGTTCTTCACTTCTTTTACTTCCTCTTCTGGTTTTTCTTTCATTATCCCATCCTTGTTCTTCTCTTCTCTTACTTCTTCTTCCTTCCTCTCTTTTACTTCCTCTTCCTTCTTTCCTTTTTTTACTTCCTCTTCCTTATTCTCTTCATTTATTTCTTCCTTCTTTTCTTCTTTTACTTTTTCTTCCTTCTTCTCTTCTCCATCCTCCTCAACTTTAGCCTTTTCTTCATTATTATCCCTTAAACTATTTTCTTTCTCATCCTCCTTCTTCTCATCATTACCCACCTCATTTTTCTCTTCTTTTCCTTTATCATTCTTCTTCTCCTCTTTATTCTCACCCATCTTTTCAACGTCCTTCTCTTTCAATTCCCCGCTTGCTTCATCCTTCTCTCCGCTTGCTTCATCATTTTTCTTCTCTTCCTTATTTTCATTTTTATTCCTCTCTTCCTCAATTGCTTCCACAGCATTTTTAGATGTATTTTCTACTTCATCTAAATTTTCAATTTGTCCTTTAGCCACAATTTTATTTTCCGGGGTTGTCTGAACTTCAAGAATTATTTCTTTTGTGCTCCTTTCCTCCTTCTTTTCATCCTTATTTCCTTCTAAAGGTACTTCAGTTGAATGATCTTCTTCTTCAATAACCCATCCTTGCGGTTGACCTCCTCCTATGATATACACTTTTGCTGGACCGGCATGCAAAGCCTGAAATCATTTTTATTTTTTAACCCAACAAATCCATCTCCTACCTGCTTATCAGCCCTTTTCGGATACATTGCCCAACACACATAACCATGCCGTACATGTTCTGCTCTAACATGTTCTATTCTTAGAAGGCCCCTTCCATCATCTCTAGCACCCGTTAGCTCTTCCGCTTCAACTCCATTTTCTAAACGCCAGCTAAGTTTGGCATCTGTTCGGCCTGGGACAGTACACTGTATCAAGGCTGTTGTGTTGCCGGGAACTGTTTGATTCATTGGAATTATGACAGGCGTTCTGGCTGAAAAATTGGCTTTTGGAATCTCTTAACCTTTTCAAGGCTATTAACTCTAAGACTCACGTGGCTCCACTTGAAGGTGAACTTGGGATGAGGTAGCCCCTGTTCCTTGATCTAGGCACTCATAAATACCAGCATCAGTTTGCCTCACCTCTTGGAAGATCATAAATACAGACTGAACATCACGCTCAATTGCTAGAGGTCCATTAGTGCTTAATACTAATAAGGGTTTATTTAAGGTATTACATGAATTTTAGATGATTTTCCCTACAGTTCACTCTTGAATGTCTCTCCTTCACCCTACCTACATATGTTCCTTCAGTCACACTCCATCACCCTACTTTCAATGCTACTTAACCTTACGTTTGAATGCTTCATTCACCCTGATTTTAAATGTTCCCTTCACTTTTACTAATTGGAAATTCCCTTCACCACCCTTAATGATCCCTCCGCACTACTTCTCATACACTCCCCACAACCCTTATAATCCCCCCAAAATCCCTTACTTTCATTTTCCCCGCTTTTGCTGCCGTTAACTTTTTGCCACACAAGTCTATGGCTTGTCCTACACTCAGCAAATTGGCAATTCCAACATCTAAAGTGAACAGGTTCACCGGCAGAAGCAATCATTAGGTACGAGTCTACACGAGGCTTTAAGGCTAGTGGAGGTAATTCTTCTCGTCCATTTCGACTAGTTATAGGAGGCTTCTGAATTAAATACTTTTTTTGGCCCACCCAGAAATAAAAATTTTTTTACCTCTCCCTCATTCTCTTTTATTGCTGAATTCAACACAGAAAGTCGAACAACTTGAGGGGTGTTCATATTTTTGGTATTGCTTTCATCCTTTACTTGACAAGCAAATTCTCCTTGATGGTTTATATCCGCTACAGGGACTTTAAGTTGTCCATTTTCTGTTCTTTCAACTCCCGAAGGAAACTCGGCAAAAAGGCCGTGAGGATCCAGCCGCCTCCATTCAACCTGTCCAGTGGGGAATTCACAGTGGAAAATGGCTTCTTGGCCAGTGAGAACTGTCAATTGGCGTGGATAGACTTTTGGGATTTGCTCCTCTAAAAAGTTACCATTTTGAAATTTTTAAGAATTAAGTTCAGACCTTTTGGCATAACCAGCCCTACTCCATCAGGTAATTCTTCACATCTTGAACTCATCATTACAATTAAAACGGCTACTGTAATTAGGGCAACAAAAATGACTGCAACACCTCCAAAAAGTAAAAATCTGAAAATAGATTTGAGAATATTTTCAGGTGACTTAAGGTTGTTCACTTTAGGATGTTCACTTCATTCTACCTTTAGGAGTTTTCTTCAGCCTCTTACTTTTAGCCTGCTTTAGGATCTTCCCTCTATCCTCCCTTGATTCTAAAAAATTCTCCTTGATTGCCCCCTTCATGCTACTTTTGAGAACCCTTACTTCTGAATGTTCCCTTCGCACTACTTATGTCCCCTTCACACTACACACGTTCTTTTTACATTACTTAGGTTCCCTTCACATTACTGGAGGGAACCTCACATCACCCTTATTAAGTGTACCCTACACCCCATTTTGAATTTAAAAATTTTTTCAAAGTACCTCAATGCTCTCCACAACGGACTTTTTCTGTATTGTTTTAATTCCTCGTAGCTGATCAACCTTGATTCCTCCTCTCTTCCATAGTTTTTCTGAAATGATAAATTTTTTAAACACCCACACCAAGGATGGGAAGGTTACCCGAAACCCTGACTTTTTTCTGTCTGAAAACCCGACCCGAAGAGAACTTTGAAGATCCGCCTCGAAAAATACCGACTAGCTTCCCTACACGACCCTTCCCTTCCCCCATCTAAGGCCCCTCCCTTCACCATCTACGACCCTTCCCTTCCCCCATACCTCTCTATCTTTTTTCATAACTCGTCCTAGCTCTCCTCTCTCCAAATCCTCAACATCCGCCATATTTCCATCCTTAGCCCCATTTTTTATCAAAATACTATCTTCATCATTTCCACCATTCTTCTGATCCTCTTCGATTTCTTCTGGATTTGTTGTTTTTTCAATAATATTGGTTGAATCAGACATTTAATTTAAAAATTCGAGAATATTATTTTATTTAAAACCACGTTTTTGACAAAAACGTCTCTCTGCAATAATTAAAATCAATGGAAGGATATTTGGAATATTAAAAATAATTTTTTTTGTTTGAACAATTGTTTAAAAATTTTATTATTTAAAAATATTTTTGGGGAGGAAGAAATAGAAATAAATTTAAAATGACATTTAGATGGAAAATTGAATTAAATGACTAGAGAATTGATAGAGATCAAAGTCGGATACCTCAGAAATTAATATCTGCATTGACGAGATTTTTGAATCAATGTCCCTTTCTAAATTTAAAGTAGCATACCCATGGAAAAGGATTAAACTATAGTAAGGAACACATCCCTGCGAGGATGCATGCCCCTTCGAAGAGACTATGTCCTTTGGAACGAACATTCCCTTTCGAAGAGAACATATCACCTCTGAATGGTAAGAAGTGAAACCCTCAAAATTAAGCATACTCCGCCCTATACTTTTCAATTTTTGGGGACCAATATCTCAGTCCTTATCATTTCCGGAAGAAAAGAGTAGTATCGTTCGATTCACCTCGTCGAGTCGAATCAAATGGTATGGTTTTGTAGCCCATATTATTTCGAGGAGAACATATCCCTTCGAAGGGAACATCTCTCTCCTTGTATAACATACATAATTTTAGGAAATAAATTTATTTACCAATCTCTTAAAGGTCCTTAAAGGGACTTCGGGATTGAAATGGAGAGAATCCATTTTATTTTCCTTTCATTCGAGAAAATTTTTAAAATTTTTACCCCTAAAAAACCTTAACTATTTACTCCCAAACTCAACCAAAAAATAATTTTATTGATTAAACAGTCACATTTTTAAAGCAAAATCAGCTTAAAAATAGCAAAAATTAATAAAATAAAACACAAAAATTATCGGCTGTTTTTACCTCTTTTAACAAAAAAAATAAAATAAAATTTCCTTCACTTTCCCCCCATTCTCGTGCAGTCGACGGAAATTGTAGCGGTCGTATATCCTTTTATGGTCTAAATTTTCCCTTCATTTTTGGGTAAATTTTGATAAGAAAAATAAATAAATATTTACAAATTTATTTTAATAAAAAATTTTATGGGAAAATAAATTTTATTTTTGAGTGGAATTGATAGAGTTTTAAAGGGAAGTTTATTTGTAGGTGTTAATTTTGAGTGTTAATTAGAAACTCCCTTAATTTTCAGAGAAACGAGGAGGAATTTTCAGAGAAATAAGGAAGGCCTAGAACAGTGTAGATTTTCCTCGAAATTTTTTTTCATAGGATATGGTTGTTAAGGGTAGGAATTCAAAAAAACGAAAAAACACCCTATCACATCGGAAGATAACCTAAACCTCTTAAAGTAACATGCTACTATGCAGTGAGAAATACCTTAGAATGGAACTCTCTTCACTAAAGGACATATATTCAAGGTTGTGCCAGTTTCGGGTTTTTCGTATTTTCTCATCCGAGGGGTTACCTTTCCCATTTTGAGAGAGTATAACTCTCTCCGCCCCACTAAAATTGTGCAATATATGCAGATAGAACATTAGAATCTCTTTAAGCTTTCTTTACTTTAGACCTCCTATCATCTTTTTTAAATTTTTAAAATATTTTTGCATAAGGTTGACGTAAAATAAAATAATTAATACTTTTCATTTTTTGTTTTGGCCTTATTTTTTCAGTAAAAATACAATAATTATCACAAAAATTAAATATAAAAGTTTATCAGTAAATTTAATTAAAAGTAGCAATTACACAATTTTTTTGTTAACTAAAATTTGTACTTTGGGTGAAATAAATTTCGAAAGAAAAATTAAATATTTAAAAAATTTTTGAAAATTCTTTCGATTTTTTATGATTTCTATCTGGCATCTTTCTTAGATAGTTCCAGGAAATAGATGTTCTCGATCCGTAAACGGATTTGATTGTGTAATGAAAATAGTTGTGTGGTGAAAATATTCGAGTAATCGAGCATACTGTTTAGTGTAAACGGACCATAAGTAGTGCGAAGGGAACATAAAGTAGTGTGAAGAGAACTGAAGTAATGTGAAGGGAACTTAAGTAGAGTGAAGAGAACAGAAGTAGTGGTAAGGGAACTTAAGTAATGTGAAAAGAACATGTGTCGTGTGAAAGTAACATGGGTATAGGCTGAAGGGAAGATAAGTAGTGTGAAGGGAACATCGTAGTGTGAAGAGAACACAAGTAGTGTGAAGGGAACATGATTAGACTTAATGGAACATAATTGCCCTTAAAATTAGAGAGTATTCTTTACAGGAGAGACTCTAATAGAAGGTGATCCTAGGTCATTTCTAACAGTAGTTCTAGTTGAATTTGATAAGCAATACATTTGTTGATTTTGTTGTGGATTTACTGTTGCTGTTTTATTTGTTTGAATGTTAATTTGTGTGGAGATTCGGCATGTTTTTAATATTAAATTTAATAATTTTAAAAGAACAGTTTTTATGTCGTTTAATAATATTTTAAATAAATCGTAGTAATCGATACTTAATTTAAAATTTAAATTTTAGCATTATGTCATTTTATTGGAGAAGTTTTATGTAGGGTGAAGGGAACATTGGAAGTCCGAAGGGAACATGGGTAGTGTGAAGGGAACATGGCTAGTTTGAAGGGAACGTGGGTAGTCTGAAGGAAACAAAGTAGTCTGAAGGGAACGTGGGTAGTGTGAAGGGAACATTGGAAGTACGGAGGGAACATTGGTAGTGTGAAGGGAACATCGGAAGTGTGAAGGGAACATGGGTAGTCTGAAGGGAACATTGGTAGTGTGAAGGGAACATGGGTAGTCTGAAGGGAACTGGCTAGTGTGAAGGGAACATGGGTAATTTGATGGAACATTCGTAGAGTTCCATTCACATTCCAAAAGTGGACCCAAAGATTTCCCAAAGTGCCTCAACATTAACATATATTTTTCAAAATGCCAGAAAAATCCCAAAAAGGTTACCTGTTCATATAAAGAACAATTGCATTAGTCAACGGCCCCATTAAAATAATACAGACAGACAAATTCATCAAATACCAATTCCAAATGGCCGAAAAATCAGAAGTAAATCCGAGCAATAAAGAGCCAAACAAGACAGTCCCCACGTGGACAGAAACAATTAAAGAGAGGGATTTTAATAATTTTAGTTGGTTTTGGAATAAATTGGTTTCAAGGCTGTTAACGTTCTTTTTGGTGTAAATAGCTGAATTATAGTACCATTTTTTGACTTTTTAAATGAATTTATTATTACAGTAAAATCTCTACAAAAGGCTCTCCTATCTTTTGTATTCACCTTCAGAGATGGTCTGTTTTCAAGAGGGTCTGCTATAGTTTTTCAATTTTCCCACACAGAAGGGGCCTATTATAGAGAATTTACAGTACTTTTGTTAGTTTTTGGTATTATGAAATATTTATTGAGTTTTGACATTTTGAAATTTATTCGCTTAGTTGACATTTTGAAATAATTTCCGTTAATTGACATCTTGAAATTTTATTGAAAAGTTTATACTAGGGTAGCACCCTGTCCCCAATAACCCCGACCCAAACTTCAAAGGCTCTACCCCGGCAAACCCCAATCCCCGACGATCCCGCCTCCGAAGGCACGGGGTGTACCCTAGTTTATACTACTTGAATTTTTTTAATTTTTTACATTTTGAAATATTTTTCCCCAGTATTTTAACTAGTCTAACCTTTTCTCACAATCAAAATAATACAAATTAGAATATAGCAAAATATAGAAATCCCAATCAGCACAGGCCCAACCAAATAATGTCCCAAATAATTCTTGCTATCCCAACCAATTTGCCCAATAAATCCAGTAACGGGTCTGTTCTCCTCTGATTCACATTTTTTCCACAATTCAACAACATTCCAAAGTCCATTAAGTGTACATAGAAGTACATTAACTGCTGAATATCTACGTTGAGTTCGTTTAGACATCTGAAATTTGTGGGGGAGTAAAACTAGTATAAAAGGCTGGCAGAATTTATTTTTCTTAGGTTACTCAGTGAGTCACTTTCCATTTTTGACAATTTATTTAATTTATCTTTTTTAAACGAAAGGTAGAAAAAGTGTATTTTTAAAATGTTTTTACGTGCCATTTATTATTATACTTTATATCACGCAAAATGATGTTTTGAGAATAAAGGATATTTCTGTTGAATAGCGTGTAGTTTGTATCTTATTTTTCGAAATATGGAGCTAAAATACTCGAGAAATGTCGAATTTTTATAATAAAGTAACATTTTCAATAATGCGCTTCCTGGGGATGTTTCTATTCATTTTATAAAGGTTGAGTATGGTGTCAATGGCCGTCTATTCATGGATATATAATGTTCCCTTTTACCCTACTTTCGAATGTCCCCTTCAGCCTACTTTCGATTGTCCCTCTCACCCTACTTTTGACGGTTCCCCTTATCCTACTTATGTATGGCCGCCCCTTCACACTACTTCCTGGAGTTCCCTTCACTCTTTTTTCCTCCCAGATTCCAGCTAAACTTTCAATCTACCTATCAGACTAAGATACCTGATTATATTTAATCGGGATAACAACAGCTATAAGTCTATCAATCGCAGTAAAAGCAATACAAGTCAATGAACATTGAATGCCAAAAAGTGCTGGAATTAGTAAACGCATGGATTGAAACGTGCCAATAAAATTAGTCGAAGAAGTTGCAACAAAAAAGAAGGGGAAAGGATGGGTTAGTTGAAGAAGATCAAAAAAAGCATTCAATGCAATTAGAAAGTTGGCGGTACTGTTGAGTTTATTCCTATTGAAAAAATTATATAAATGTTCCTTTAGCATTGCATTACCCTACTTTGGATATTCCCTTCGCCCTACCTTTGAATGTTCCCTTCACCCTACTTTGGATGTTCCCTTCGCTCTACATTTAAATGTTCCCTTCACCCTACTTGGATGTCCCCTCACCCTACCTTTAAGTATTCCCTTCATGGATGTTCCCTTCGCCCTACTTTTAGTGTTCCCTTCACCCTACTTTGGATGTTCCCTTCGCTCTACCTTTAAATGTTCCCTTCACCCTACTTTGAATGTTCCCTTCGCCCTACCTTTAAATGTTCCCTTCACCCTTCTTATGATTGTTCCCCTTACATTATCTTTAAATGTTCCCTTCACCCACTTGTGCTTGTTCCTCTCACCCTACCTTCAATGTTCCCTTCACCCTACTTTGGATGTTCCCTTCGCTCTACATTCTTAATCTTTTAATAATTTACCTATACTTAACAGACACATAAATGATTCCAGCATTCAACGGAATCCCAATAATAGCAATCAGCGTTAATAAAACTGAAGGTAGAATTAACGCAAATTTAGGCCCTGGTTCAGTTGACAACAAATAAAATAACTATAAAATAATTAACTTAAATTTTAATTAATAAGCTCCTTTCACCTTTGTGTCATCAGATATGCTTTTGTTGTCTTGAATATTTTCAATTATAAAATTATTATTTAATGACATTTTTATTCTTAAAAAATAATTTATTTAAGTTTAAGCTTATGCTTAATTTCCAAGTTTAATTAAAATTGAAATTTAATGTGAGACGCAAGGCGGAGGCAACCGTAGGGTAGTCAAAGCCTTATAACTTTTGAGCCCCTGAACCGATTTGGCTTATCTTGGTTTCGTTTAATAGGAAATTGAGTTGGCTACAAGATAAAATATGAGTTGTAATTTTATATGCATTGAAGAGATAGCTATGTCAAAAAACGCAATTAATATAATTAGGGCCATAAAACTGACATCGAACTTGTTCATGACCTGTAATTTTTGAAGCCTCAAATAGATCAAGCTTGTCTTGGTGTCATTTAATAAAGAATTAAATCGGCTACAAGGCAAGCTGTTATCGAAAATTTTATTTTATTCATTAAGTTAATGAGGGCCATAAAACTGACTGCAACGTATAGCCTTGAATGAGTCAAGGCCCAGTAACTTTTAATAACTTGGACCGATTCGGCTTTACTTTGTAGGAATTAATAAAGAATTAAATGAGTTAAAAATAATTTATGAAAGAAAAATATTTATTTAAATAACTAATAGAATAGGTATGGCCATAAAGCTGGCATTGTTTTAAGACAATACGTAGGTTACTGTTTGTGTCAGATTTTATAATAAAATTTTTTTTATTTTTATTTCTTTTGTGTCAAGCCTAATTCACTACTAAAAATATAAAAATAATTTTTTTTAAATTTAATTTAATTTGCAAAAACAAAAAAAAGAAAAAATTCAATTTGAACAACACTTGGTCTAAGCCACTATCGAGCTAGCAAAAATAGCAAAAATTAGAAAAAATAAAAAATTAAAAAAATATTTCATAAATAAATAATAAAATCTTTTTTGAGTAAAGAAAAAATTTTCTTTCCTTTATAAAATATTTTTTGGCACAAAAAAGACAGAAAAAATGCCATTCTTTATTATACTATTGCGTGATTATGGAAACATTATTTTTTATTTTTAAATAATAAATTTGTGACATTTTTAAATTTCTTTTGAATTTAGAAGAAAAAATATTTTTTTTTCTGTTTTATTTTTAGATTTTTGTATTTTGTTGATATTAAAAATTAAGTTTTGGTTCATATCCGTTACATATTTGACTACATTTTTTAGGATTTTCAAGGAATTGAATACGCATTTCCTGTCTAGTAAGAAATTATTTTTTTGTTAAAAATAATTTTTTCTGCCTATTTTGTGTCTAACGGAAATTTTAAATTTATAAGAAATTTAAAAAAAAATTTCAGATTCATAAAAAATTTTTTTATTCGATTTTCAGTTAAATTATAGACCTTTAAGGGTGTCTAACAAAGATTTAAAAAAAATTTTCCTGTTAATTTTGTGCCTAAAAAATTTTTAAATTTATAATGTCAAAAAATAAAATATTTTTTGACATTATAATTTATGAAAAAATTTTTTTAAATTTAATTTTCAGTTAAATTATAGACCTTTAAAGGGTATCATTATTTATATTTTGTGCCCAATAAAAAATTAAAAATAATTTTTTTCTGTTTAATTTGTGCCTAACAGATTTTTTAAATTTATAATAAATTTGAAGAAAAATTTTTCTAGACGTAACAATTTTTTAAAAAAATTTTAAAGTTAATTTTCAGTTAAATTAAAGTCCTTTCAACTGTATTATTATTCATATTTTGTCCAAGTAAAAATTAAAAAAAAAATTTTTTATTAATAATTAATTTTAAAATTAATAGAAAACTTTTTCAGACGTTATAATTTGTTTAAAAAAATTTTTAATTTAATTTTAATTAACTTATAGACCTTTAAAGGTGATAATTTTAATAATTTATAGTGTTAAAATGTGGAAAAAAATTATTTTAAAATTTTAAAATTAATTAATTATTTAGAAAAAAAATTTAAATGATTAAAAAACGAGGAAAAATTTTTTTAAATAATTTAAAAAAATAAAAGAATAATTTTTAAATTTAATTGAAAAAATGCTCAATTAAATTTTCACAATATATATTTATTTATTAAAAATTGAAACAAAGTAAAACTTGAAACAAAACATGAATAAACATAAAACTTGAAATAAAGCATTGTTTTTACGTAACAATGCTTATTTAAAATTAATTTCGCCTGTTTTATTCAGAAATTATTTTAATTAATTAATTATTTGTTGTTTTATTTCCGCCTGTTTTGTTACAATTGTAAATGTTCGTTTAATTTAAATACGCCTGTTTTGTTTAGTTTTGTTTTATTTAATTTTGCCTGTTTAATTAAATTCCGCTTGTTTTGTAAATTCCGCCTGTTACCGATTTTTAATTCCGCCTATTTTAAACGGAATTATTAAAACATCACGTTTATTCGCAATTTATTTAAATTTGGAAGCAGGTGGAATTTAATTATCTAGAAAAAGTTTGTTTATTTAATTATGAAATTCAGCTTCTCTCCAAAGAGTCTTTGTGTCTATTTGCACCGCTATCCTAAAAATAAATAAAAAGAATAATTTTGGAATAATTCAATAATTAAATAATTACCGTATTTTCTTAATTAAGGCCCTTATCCATTGAAAGATGGCTGAAATGGAGTCCCCTACCCCCCCCCCTCTCTTTTGAATTGGAGCCCCTTCTTAAAAACCCCCTTTTAAGGATGGTTGAAAAATAGTGTGCCCCTGTGTTAGAGAGAAAATAGTGTGCCCCCCTCCACTAGAGATCCTCTCCACTCCTCAATAGAGACCCCCTCCACTCCTTATTAGAGAACCTCTCCAGTTCCCACCTCCCATCCGGAAGATGTTTGAAAGACACAGCCCCAGATGCTCTATTACAGAAAATACGGTAACTCAAAATTACCAATGTAAAGGATTTCCCAAATCGACTAATCCTCTTCTGAATTTGTATCGGCCTCATATTCGACAACGATATCTTTCTTAGAGGTGTGCTTGCAGAAGAGGAAGCATGGTGTGATGGAGGCTTGGAGAAGGGCTGTGCAATAGTTATTCCGGTTATTCCAGTCACAGGCGAATTCGAGCCGGAAACTGAAGGGATGGCGCAGGAAGGCATTGAATAGTAGAAGAGTGGACTTCTTGGACGTTCAGAAGGCTTCCGACTCTTCAAAAAAATTTTTAGGTTGGGATAGATGGATAATTTGGGTACCTTGTCAAAATACTTCCCAGGCACCTGATCTCGTTTTTCCAATAAAAAGCGCCCTGAACCGCTAGTCCATCTGCTCTGTATTTTCCAGATGTTTTCATTTGGATCCAGCATTCGATATCTGACGGGGGCAGAAGTGCCACTCGAACCTATAGACTTTTTGCCTCCTCCAAAAGCTAATTGAGCTGCTGTGTTGTGCGGAATTGATGTCCCTTCTTTACAGTGTACCTCTTCAACGAGGGCGTATTCTTCCAATTTAATGTCAAAACGTTGAGTTTTGGCAAAGATCTATAAAAAGTTTGAGTAGTGTAAAGGGAACATAAAGTAGTGTGAAGGGAACATAAAGTAGTGTGAAGGGAACATAAAGTAGTGTGAAGGGAACATAAGTAGTGTGAAGGGAACATAAGTAGTGTGAAGGGAACATAAGTAGTGTGAAGGGAACATAAGTAGTGTGAAGGGAACATAAGTAGTGTGAAGGGAACATAAGTAATGTGAAAGTAACATAAAGTAGTGTGAAGGGAACATAAGTGTGTGAAGGGAACATAAGTAATGTGAAAGTAACATAAAGTAGTGTGAAGGGAACATAAGTGTGTGAAGTGAACATAAGTAGTGTGAAGGGAACATAAGTAGTGTGAAGGGAACATAAGTAGTGTGAAGGGAACATAAGTAATGTGAAAGTAACATAAAGTAGTGTGAAGGGAACATAAGTGTGTGAAGGGAACATAAGTAATGTGAAAGTAACATAAAGTAGTGTAAAGGGAACACAATTAGTGTGAAGGGAACATAAAGTAGTGTGAAGGGAACATAAGTAATGTGAAAGTAACATAAAGTAGTGTGAAGGGAACATAAGTGTGTGAAGGGAACATAAGTAATGTGAAAGTAACATAAAGTAGTGTAAAGGGAACACAATTAGTGTAAAGGGAACATAAAGTAGTGTGAAGAGAACACAAGTAGTGTGAAGGGAACATAAAGTAGTGTGAAGAGGAGAACATATTTATAGCTAGACGGTCAGCAAAATATATTAGCTACCTGATTAATCACGTCCTTAGCAGTGTTGTTTACACTGTAATTAAAAATTTTCTGGAATAAGTCATGTTAATATCCACCTTGTTCTCAATATAGCATAAGGATGGTTATCGCTAATATTGTGAATGCAAACAATGAAGGTTTCCCCCATAGATTTAGCTCGTGGATGCATTCCTTTAAGGTAAAAGAAGCTTAATCAGAATTTAAGTACGTTCCCTTACCCGGCTCTAAACTCTCTCCCGCATGAGCCCCGGATGGCTCGATAACGTCAACAGACGATCTACATGTTAAATTAATCGCTCCAGTTGGCGATTTTGTTCGTTGACCAGAACCATCCTCTGCTCCTTGACCAAGAGACTTTCGAGGAGCTAAGGGTGTTTGATGAGATTGTTGTTGTTGGGATATTCCTCCTCCTTTCATTATTGCCGAGAATAGTGAGGAACGACCTGTAGCGGGGTCCTATAGTGAGAAAATTAAGTACTCCGTGGCAACTAATTTTGTTTTAATCTAGTGAATGAAGCAAAGTAATATGTTTAAAATTGGAATATTTCCCGAGATAGATGATCATGCCTCTGATCATGTCTGATCATTATTATGCTTCTGAATCATGACCATGCTTCTGAAGCATTGAAACAAATTTTGCTTCAGACATTTGCTTCGAGATAAGAAAAATGAGCATGCTTCAGTTTATTAATAATGCTTCAACTTTAACAAAGCTTGAATTTAAGGAAGCAACTCTTGGGTGAAACATGTAAACATCAATCAAAATTTGTTGCTTACCACATTTTTCTTTCTCAAATGGAACCGTCTAGAAGCCCCATTCCAACACATTACAGCATCTAATATAGGCTCATTATGCGGCAATATTCTATGCTGTGATTGAGAATGTAGCTTCGTTGCCTGGTCTATTGAAGTCGAAGTAGAGAAGAAATTTGTGGTTGTTTCACTAGTTGAAGGTGGTTGTTGACCAAAAATATTGGCAGAAGCATCTAATGGATAAACCGAAGATAATGCTGTGGCTGAAGCTGAAGCAGAAGGGGAAGTTGAGTTTGGAGGTACTGGGATAGAAGGAATATTCTCTTCGAAAAGAATATAATCATCTGGGTTTTCTGCTTGTTTGCCTGCGTTGGAGAGAGCTTTTGCTATTACTGAACGAACGGTGCTGCTTGATTCGGCATGGACCTGGTAATTATTCAAATAATGTTAAGCCCATTTAAGTCTGATGAAGCATATCATATGTTCCCTTCGCACTGTATCGTGTGAAGGGAACATGTGTAGTGTGAAGGGGCCATGGGTAGTGTGAAGGGAACATTTGTAGTGTGAAGGGACCATGGGTAGTGTGAAGGGAACATGTGTAGTGTGAAGGGGCCATGGGTAGTGTGAAGGGAACATGTGTATTGTATGAACAGAACACTTTTAAAATTCTGAGCCTTGCACTCTAAAATGCCAATTTTTGTTATGTTATCTCTACATTTTTTAAATATATTTATAAAATCTTTTTACCACAACGCTGGTTGTATCATCTGGAAAAAGACCCAATATTCTGATAATGAAGATTTGCCGTCTCAAAATAAACAATGGCTTAACGTTCGCTTCAGGGTCAATTTTCAAAACTTGGTAAAGCATTTCTGGCTCATAATTGTTGTTTGTTCCCATACTGATTGAACCAGAATGGGGTTGTGAGTTTGAACATGCTGAGTGAGGGGAATGTTGGGCGGAGTATGGAGCGCCGTAAGGAAGGGGGTGATCTTCCTCGTGAAGATAGATATGTTCTTCTTGTTCGAAGCGAGTACTGTAATAATTTTGTTAAACTCCAGATAGCATCATAATATAGGGAATATAGTAAGGAAGGTTCCCTAAAAAGGCTCCACAGGTTCTTGCAAGATATAAGGTCCCAAATGGACCCATAGGAGGTTCCCCAAGATAAGAAGGTCTCAACGAAAATTTTATTAAAATATAACTGGATATGAATATGGCCTCAAAATAAGAAATGAAGGTACTTGGGTGTTCCGAAGGAATGCTCTTATAACTTGAGAGAGCTGCTGAAATCCTCAAAAATCCTCACCGTATAAAAAGTAGAGATTGCTCCAACGGTTGATTATTCGGTGTCCTCAACGGCAAGTGTCTATAACCAGGTCTTAGACACCTTACAGGAACAACCCTCTGACTAAGCAATTTTCCATTGTCCCCATCATATACAGAAATCCGTAAAAAAGCAAGTTCAACAAAAACGATTCGAAAAGTAGAGGAATGATTCCATATAGGGTTGACAGAGTTGCGTCCACTACTTGATCCAGAAGATTTGCTTTTTTCTTTTACACAATCAGCTGGGACTCCGATAATTTCGATTTCAAGGGTTGGGTTGGCTGAGAACGATCCTGGACTGACATATTGTCCGGAAATGATAGTTAATTGAAGAATGATTGCTGGGCACGATGAAATTTCCTTTTTAATGGATTAATGAATGTTAGGGTATATTCGGGATTTAATAGACTCCAGTTATTATAGGATACACTCTAGAAGGTGCCTCTAGAGGGTCTAGAAGCTGCAGTCAATGGTTCACGGATCCAGAAACGGTCCCCGTTCTCATGATTCATTTTTCCGTGTTCCGCATTTTCTGAGTGGTTCAGTTTGAAGATTCCATGACCCGTTTCCTGAACCACAAATTATGAAACATATTCCGGTGACCGGAAATAGAATTGCTTGAGTAAGGCAGTTGATAGAACAAAGGGTCTAGCACCACGACTGGTGTGGGAATAACCAGTTACGTACCTTAGAATAAGGATTAAATTTCCCAAAAAGAGGGTGGTTAGCATCCCACAAAGCTCTAGGCTTCAAGATATATCCACAATTCCCGGTCTGTTCAAACATTGCAGTATTTACAGCCATAGCCACATCTGCAGTTTGGAAATTGAGAGCTACCATCTTAAGAAGGGAATTTCTTAATACATTTTACAAATAAATTTCTACCTGCAACCCGCTTTGCCAAAATTCTAGAAGCCGTTGTGGGCTAAAGTTGGAAGAGTCTATTCGCATCCCTCCAGGGTATGTTCTCCTTATATTTAATATTCTAGTAGTAAAAAATTTGTCCTTACATTATATGATTCCTAGTATAGCTAATACATTTTTGAGCATATTTCCGACACAACTTTCTAGCTGATGCTTCAGTTAGTGAGCTTACCTTTAGATTAAACGTAGCAATATGTTTTTAAGTTTCAATATTTTTTAAATTTTTTAAGTTAAGTTTCTTCCAGTTTAATTCGTGTCAAGGGATCCGTGGACAATCCATGAGTGGTCGGAAAATCCGTCTGTGAACAAATCCTAACGTTAACCAACTTACCGCCCCGGAAAATTTGTATTTTGTGTGGGAGATTAAGAGGGATATCAGGTGATATGTCAGGAGTAGAAGAAGGAGGAGGGGGGTAAGGGGGGTTGGAGCAATATCGGTGGATTTGAGAATTCCCATTTAATTTTGTTCCAAGTCTGCTTCAAGTTTATTTATATGTTTCATTAATATTAGCAACTTGATAGCATGAAGCTTGAGAGTTTGGCGATTGCTGCCTGTTTGTATTAGAGGAAGATAATAAATTTGTCGCATTATTTTGAGTAGAAGTTGAAGCAGATTGCTCCTGCACATTGCTAGTCGAAGCTTGTTGCTGTTGGGATAAGGGCTGTTGTTGTACAGGTTGTAGGGTAGATGGGGAGTCTCCTTTGTCGCTCCCATTGCTTAACTGGGCACTGACCAACTTAATCAAAGTTAATAAAAGATAAGGACGGAAATCACTATACTTGTAAACATCTAGTTGATTCTGCTGTTGAAATCTGTATGCTACTCTTTGGACGCTTCTGATGAGCCTGTTGTATGTTAGCCTCAATGTGGGAGGGTACTGTAGCTGAATAGGAACTCAACATTGTAGGGGCTAGAGCACGCATTCGAGGGGTTCCGCCAAAGCTTAAAAGGGGAGTATTTTTAAATTTTCACAGATGGGACGGGTTATATGACCCTTGAAAATTTTCGACCAGAATCACGACCTGAACTCGAGAACTTATCAAAACCATCCCCGAAACAAGACTTTTCACTCAAGCCTCCCATCTCTGTTTTTAAGATAAGCACACACCTGTTAGAGCATGGCCTCAGCTCTCCACTCCCAATTCCACTACTCCCAATGGTATCAAATCCAACATTAGTTCCTCCAATCTCTCTAAACCCTATAGGAATCTCTGTTGTTGTAACCACGAATCCTTTGAATTTGACAGCTTGCATATAAATAACCAAATCTGAAAGTTCCTGAGCTATTTGATGCCCACTGCTAGAAGCTCTAGTTATTGCAGCTGTTGTGGTAGTGAATGTGGAACCACGACGACCAATTTTGGCATGGTGGTGATGGCAATGACGTTGACTGAAAATTTGTTTTATTTTTTTGGACTTATAGCCATTTTTGAGAAAGGCTTTGACGAGAACAAACTTCCATGTGAAGGGAGCATACCCCTGCTATCCTTGTGAAGGGAGCGTATCCCTGCTATGGAAACATACACCTGCTTTACCTGAGGAGTGAAAGTTTATGTTCTCTGCGAATGGAACATACCCTTCTAACAAAACATATCTTTAGAGGGAAGGATGCCCCTCTGAAAGGAACACACCGCCCTTTTGAAAGGAACATAGCCCTTCGAAGGGAGCCAAAATATTTTTAAACTCCCTCAAAACTCACCATATATTTCCAATTTGCGAAATCGCATCATCCTCGTTTCTCAAATCCAACCTTGGTAGAACAACCAAATCTTCCCCTCCAAGTTTCTTCCTGTTCTGCAAACGTCTACTAGCTGCAGGACTTGCAATAGAAGCTATAGCCCCAGCAACCTGGCTAAGTCCTCTAGTTCTGTCATTATTGGCAAAAACACTGCTATTCAATGAATCTTTACTGGAATGCCGATTAGATGAAAATGAGGTTCTAATAATCGGAATTCCTTTCATTGGAGAGGCTGTATCGCCTTAAAGATAATAAGCTTTTAACTATCAGTTCACCCTCTGTCCTTATCTCAACATCAGTTTCAGTCGGATCATCCTCCGTTGCAACATCCTCATCATCCAAATACTCCAACTCATCATCCTCCATATCATCAATAGAAGAAGATTCATAAGATCCTTTCCTTGAACAGCTTCCATGATGGGCAACCTCGGCACCTAAATCACTCCTATGTCGGTGATGAAGAGGTAAATATCCACCAGCACCACAGCCATTACCACCGATTAATATGTCACCACCGTAATGTGAATCAAAATGGCCAATATTGGTGGCATAAATGCCGGCAGACGGTTCGGCAATCATTTTCTTATTTTTTATGATAATTTTGTTACGAAGTTGCCATGGGGAACTGAAAGGGATATTTTAGTTAAATAATGAGATACATACCCCCTTGCGAGTGGACATATTTTTGTAAATTACCCTTCGAGAGGAACATACCCTTTCGGAAGGAACATGTCCTTGTGAAAGGAAGAACAAGTCCTTGTGAAAGGAAGAACATGTCCTTGTGAAAGGAACATATCCTCCAAAGGGAACATAAGCCTCCGAAAGGAAGATGTCTTTCGAAGGGAACAAGTCCTTGTGAAAGGAAGAACATGTCCTTGTGAAAGGAACATATCCTTGTGAAAGGAACATATCCTCCGAAAGGAACATAACCCTCGGAAGTTTACCTCCTCCTGAGAGAACATACATATACACCTCTGGAGTAAGTATACCTCTTATGCCCTCCCATAAAAAACTTGAACTTACGGCAATCTAGGGCTTTCCATATAATCAGTATCAAACAAATAAGACGTAACTAGACGATCTCCAAAAGCACTTTTAAACATCTGTGCCATCTTTGCCTGTTGTTGCAAAGAGCAGTGATTTTCAATGCTCAAAATAACTGGTAATTGGCTTTGCTGGAATGCGCTCTTTTTGATTATATTTACAACTAAGCGAAAGCTTATTTTTGTAGTTAAGGTGTGCCCATGATAGATCAAAGGCAAGCCATCGTCTCCATCCCAACAGTCAAGTTCTACACAGCGACAGCCAGTTTGAAGGACCTGTGAGATGTAAATTGAGTGAATGAGAGGAAGGAACCAGTGCTGGGATTGGGCATTTTATGGCTCCGACTCTGCCCTTTCAAATCAAGGGTCCGGGCATTTCTACATCTTAACCCTGGCTAAGACTTCAGATATTTCAACATCTTGGCTCGAGTTCCTGAGAATACCCAGCACTGGATAACATCACAAATCCCCACCTGTCTGTACATTTCTGCCGAAGATTCCCCTTTCAATTGATGTCCAGTCAAATAAGTATTATGACTCGAACAAATGTAATAATAACTGAGTGGATACTGTAATTGTTCTTCGGAAGGTTGAATCTGTTCTGGGACAAAGGCAAAGTTGGTTGAGTCTATAAGGGTATAAGAGAAAAATTATTTTGACTCTTAATTTAATATCCACCAGAAAGGAACCGCACAAATCCCTCAAAGGACATCAACTGCTTGGCACGATAGCTAGGATCGGGTTCATGCTCTTGAATCAGTCTAGCAGCATATTGCTCGTCAATATACTCCATTTGCTGGAAAGAGTTAAAAATTTTTTTATTTTTTCTCCACAAACACCTGTGTACATATAAAGTGTTTCAAGGAAGCCGGAGTTAAAAAAGCATTCCTTGAGGTGTCCATGGGTCCTGAAGAGGAAACACAAGCTAATGCTAAAGCATTATATATTTTCTGTTGTTTATCATTTAATTGGCAAAGGTGGTAAGCTGTGTTTCTGGTGAGTACATCGTCTGGTACAAATTCATTACTGGGAGGGCAGCTGTTGACCTAGTAGGGTTAATGAGAGTTAATGACTTATGTAAAAGAGAAAAGAACTGAGAAGGGAAGGAAATGGGGGAGATAATCAGATAGTATCCTGGATGTGTCCTTTTGTGTTAATGCCTGAGGAAGCATAATGGAAGAAGATGGAAAGAAAAGTGCTGAAAATGGTCAGAAAATAGTACTAAGAAAAACAGGGTTCAGAGTAGTGAACACCTGTGAAATCCTAATTTTTTATTGTTGCCGTAAAGCTTCATGGGATCACAAGGGTCATTGGACTCATAGCTTAGACCAGAGCCAATATTAGTAATTAATTTCCGAAAGTTTACAGATTCAAGACGTGATTGCACTCGAGGACTACAAGTTGCTTTATCGCTACTTGCCCGTTTCGGCACGTGAGAATTGGCACTTGAATGTGTTGCAATGACAAATTCATTAAATAAATCTCTCAAATCCTTAAAGAAAAAATATTTTTTGCCTTAATTTTTTTTTGTCTTAATAAATTTGTTTCATGCCTTTCTCATTCTTGTGTTGAACAGACGGAAAAGTTCGACAAACTCCTAGAATATAAAATCATTTCCCATTAATTTTTCCCATTAATTTTCTCTCCAACTACCGTAAACGCTATAGGCCTTTCCTGATACTCCTTTCCAGAACTGCTGAGTAACGCTCCGGACATTTGACCGCCAACGCCTCCACCACTGCTTGAAATTGAGCCGGAATTTGGCGTTTCGCCGCCACGTGAACGCCAAGACTGGGGAATTTTTCGATAGAATGATAAAGGAATTTTATTACCTTTATCGAACGGCCGCCAACAGAACGGCCTCCATAAGACGATGAAGTAGGGGTTCGAGAACGAGGTGTATACAACGAATCGAGATCTCCAGCATCCGATAGAGCACTAGCAGATTCAATGCCCACACGTGGTTTGAGGAGGTAGGGTAATGGACTATGCGGGCCAGGAGGGCCACTTTGGCTGCTCAGTTGGCTTCGAATAGAAGGTGGACGGACCTGGGAAAATTTTTAAAAAATCAAAAAAATTGTAAAAAATTTTTTGAGAAATTTTCAAAACCATTGGAGAATGAGGTGCCGGACTTGTACTTCTAGAGCAATCTCTACTGCTACTTCCCTTTACACGCCTAGTAACAGCAATAGTCATTTGGCGCAGTCTACTCTTTGAACGACTTCCACCACATTCAGTAGACGGGGAAGAATCGGTTTGACGACCATGGGGAGAATACAAAGTTGTGGTTGTTTGGTTAACACTTAAATTCTTCCACTTTTCTACTCGCCCTCCAAATGCTTGGAGAGCATCTACGGGCCTTGGACCAATTCGGCGTGTTGTTATTGTTGGAAATTCTGTGGAGAGGGGACTGTTATTGTTGTTGTTACTCGAAGAGATGAGTGGAGGAACTGAAGCGAGTGAAGGTGTTGGAGCTCCAAAAGCTATAGAGGTTTTTGATGTTAATCCGGACTGTTCTCTCTCCTGTTCGCTATATAGTTGAAGATAGAGACGTTTGAGCCATATTACACGCCTGTCAGGATTTCTGTTTTGCTCATGGATGAATTTGACAACCTAAAGTATTAGACAAGATTATATGAGGTAGTTGAGAGGAAACTATTTATTCAGAGATACAATGCTTCCAGTTCCAAAAATTTGAACTTCTTCGCTTCCGACCGGTTCGAAATCTTGAAGGGTCCAGTTTCAGTGACTGATCTGAAACGGCTGTTTGGAACAGAAACCAGAGCCGTCGGTTTCAGTTCCAAACAGTTCCGGACTCTTGTAGACTTCACGGTTCTGTCAACTCAGTTCCGAGACAGCTGTTTTGAGAAGTAACTCGAGCTCCACAGTTACGGTCCTAACGGTCCCGGCTCTTGATTTCTCCGAGGTTGAAGGTTCTCTGTCTTTGTAACTGGAAAGCAATAGTTTCTGTCCTGGAACCGGAAGGCACTGCACATAGGTACCTTCTCCAACCCCATCCAATATTGAGCTATCTGTTGAGGAGCCAGAAAATAAAGAAACTCGTTATCATTTAAAGAACATCCAAAATTTATAGTCCAACACATAACTGGAACACTCATTTCCTCTACACTGTGTCGACGATATATTGCTTCAATGTCAAGCTCATACGAATCAACCGACTCAATCGCTTTAATGTAGCTAGTACTCAAAAACCCTTCATCCAGAGTAAAATGGCCTAGAAGGATTTCAAAATATTTTAAGATTTCATTGAGTGACCTGCGCCCTGAGGGCGTGGAGTCAACGAAGACCCTCCTTGGAATCTATTCCCAGAGGCAGCATCGGCACTTTGTATGTTGGCAGCTTTTGCCACAGCAATTAATTCTCTCTCACGTCCATCACGTCCGCCATAGAAAATTCTATATTTTCAAGTGTATTTTTAAGTTTCCTATCAATTTTAATATAAGAACCTTTGCCAACTGACTGTTGCACAACTAGCATCTAATCTAAGTTGGCATAAAATGCTGCGACCAGAATCTGGATCGTAATGGCTAAAAAACATTTTTTTGTTTGTATGTATTATTTTAGTGTTAAATCGTGTTCGGATCGAGACGATATCTCGAATCATATCAAACATAGTCTTGACCAGGGATGTCACGGGTTGAGAAAAATGTCGGGTCGGGTTTCGGGTCGGGTTTCCAAAATTTTTCTCGGATCGGGTTTCGGGTTGAGCAAAAAGTCGGGTCGGGTTTCGGATCGGGTTTTCAAAATTTTATTCGGATCGGGTTTCGGGTTTCGGGTCGAAAAAAAGTCCCTTTTTCAGCGCCGCAGGCGAAAATTTTCAGAATTTTGGGGGTCATTAAGCTAAAAATCTTCTCTTTTTCAGCGCCGCAGGCGAAAATTTTCAGAATTTTGGGGGTCATTAAGCTAAAAATCTTCTCTTTTTCAGCGCCGCAGGCGAAAATTTTCAGAATTTTGGAGGATCATTAAGCTAAAAATCTTCCCTTTTTCTGCGACGCGGGCGAAAATTTTGAAAAAACTCGGGTCGGGTTTTGAAAAATAAAAATTCTCGGGTCGGGTTTCGGGTCGGGTTTTAGAAAATTTCTCGGATCGGGTTTCGGGTATCGGGTCGAAAAAAAGGCCGGGTTTCGGGTATCGGGTTTCGGGTAACCCGTGACATCCCTGGTCTTGACTACTCCTCCAGTCCGATCCTAGTACTAGATATTAGTAGTGTTTCACCGGATCCAGTTTGTGTTCCGGAAATTTAAGTTTTAGTAGCTTTTTACTCCGTATTTAAAAATTCTAATAAATAATTATATATTAAAATTTTGTGGAATTACAATATTATGTTCATGTCATTTGTGGTTTATTTTTGAATGGGGTTTATAAACTCCAAAAAAGTTCCATTCTATTAAAATTTTTATTTGCCTTGGATTTTTCTGTTTTACCATTGTACCCAACAATTAAATTAGGCAAATCGTTAACTGTAGTAAACAGATTATACAAAAATCCGGAATTTCCGGTGAAACTCTACGAGATATATGTACTAGGACTTTCGGTTGGACCCAAAAATCTGTAGAAGATGGGCAAATTTACATATTACTAAAATCAACTCACATAACCGTAGTTCCATGCTTTAAAAAATATAAAAAGTTGAGTTTGTCTAAAAATAGAGAGTCTGTTTTACTTGAATACGTTGTATAACGTCCAAATCCAGGATTGTTGTATTTAAAGGAATTAACTGCACTCCGTGTGCCGCTCCAGGTATCGGTTGGGCAGGTTCATATAGTTTAGGCTCAGGCGAGTATTGTGGAGATTGAAGTGGAAGTATTGGTAAGGGTAGAGAAGATGGTGGAGTTTGGCCGTTGTTCCATGTAGAAATGGAAATTGGCTGTAAAATTAAAGAAATTTTATCGTATAGGGTAAACTTAAAGTAGTATGAAGGGAGCATTCAAAAGTAGAGTGAAGGGAACATTTTCTTGTAGAGTGAAAGGACATTCAAAAGTAGAGTGAAGGGAACATTCAAAAGTAGGTTGAAGGGAACATTCAAAAGTAGGATGAAGGGAACATTTTTTGTAGAGTGAAGGGAACATTCAAAAGTAGGGTGAAGGGAATATTTTTTATGGAGTGAAGGTAACATTCATAAAGTAGGGTGAAGCGAACATTTTTTATAAGGTGAAAGGAACATACAAAAGTAGTGTGAAGGGAACATTATTTTGTAGTGTGAAGGGAACTTTCAAAAGTAGGGTGAAGGGAACATTTGCTTCTCTTTTAAAACCTATTTCGTCACATATCAACTTTAATTGAATACCTACTTGTAAATTATTGCAATAAATTCCAGGAGGCTGCGCATGTTGTTGAACAAACACAGCATGAACATCATTAGTATTTTGAACATCTACAGCAGCTCCATTTGGAGACCCTTCACAAAGCTGAGCAGCAGCCTCAGAAGGGACATAGCGAAGGAGTTGGCGATGATGTTTATGGTAAATTTCGAGGTTGTCAAGTATTAGGCAGACCTTTAAAATATTGAAATTTATTGGGGATTATTTGTAATACTACTCACCAAGTTAACTTTATCAGTATTTAACAATCCCCCTACACTAATTTTCGACGAAAAATGGTCATCTCCATTCATGTCATGCAGAAACTGAAAAAATAATTTAAATTTTTAGAACAAAAAAATATTACGGTATGATTTTAAATATTAGTTTTTTCAGTAGGTTCTACTCCGTATTTAAAAATTCAAACAAATAATTAGTTATCAAAATTTTGTGAAGTAATTCTGTTCGAAGCGGTTTTCTATGAATGTTTATTTTTGAATGGGGTTTATACATAAACCCCAAAAAATTTTAATTCCCGATCCGTTTTCCATTAAAAATTTGAAACTGGAAAAATGAAAAAACTGGGAAAAGATTTAATTTAAATTTTTAAAATAAAAAATATTACGGTAGGATTTAAAATATTAGAGACTCAAAGATTTTTCAGTACGTTTTTACTCCGTATTTAAAAATTCTAATAAATAATTATTGAAATTTTGTGAAAAACAGTATTATTGTCAAGTTGGTAAGGTGACTTTTTTTGGATTCGTATTTTTGAATGGAGTTTAATAACTCCAAAAATTTAAATTCAGGGATTTTATTTTATTATAATTATTAGACCTTCAAGTTTTTCAGTTGCTTTTTACTCCGTATTTAATAATACTAAAAAATAATTATTTTTTAGAATTTTGTGCAGAGGTGATGTTGTGATTAGGGTTGCCGTTTTCGACGGTCGAGTCATTTTTTTCGGGCTTCATTTTTATCGAGTCGGGTCATACGAGTCTTTTTCGGGCTTCATTTTTATCGAGTCGGGTCATACGAGTCTTTTTCGGGCTTCATTTTTATCGAGTCGGGTCATACGAGTCTTTTTCGGGCCTCATTTTTATCGAGTCGGGTCATACGAGTCTTTTTCGGGCCAAATATCCTAGGCCCGACTCGATCTTTCGGTCCGAGTCGGGCCATTTTGGCAACCCTAGTTGTGATCAAAGTGATATGGCATCTTTATTTTTGAATGGGGATGATAAACCCCAGAAAATTTCAATTCCAATTCTTTCCCTAATTAATTATTTTCCTAATTTAATTTACCTTTAATTTTTCTGCTTCGCCATTGTGACCAACAACAGTTAAATTAGGCAAGTCGTTGACTATAGTAAACAGATCATACAAAAAAGTGCCAAAGAAAGGGATAACTCGACACTGAACCATCCTTAAAGCTCTCTGCATTGCTTCAACATATAAAGGATGGGGAGAGGAAGGTTGCTTTTGATTACAACTTCCACGTTCTGAAGAAGTTTGCCCAGTTTTTTGGTCATGGGGCAGGAGAACTTCAACATACTCTTCGAAACGTTGACGCTCTTCTTGTTTGAGAGAGAGCCAGAAAGGGCCTAAATTTAAATAAGATTTGTAAAAATAAAAGGAAAAATAAATCAGAATTTTAAATTAATTTTACAATTTGTAGTAAAATACAAACGTAATTACAAATTCAGAATATTAGAAGCGGAACGAAATTACAATTTAACTATCAGAATTACAAATTAAAATTACAATTCAGAAATAGAATATCAGAATTAATAAAAATGAGAGGTATTAAAAATCAGAATTTTGATCAGAATTGCAAATCAGAATTACAATTTCAGAATTACAAATCAGAATTTCAATATCAGAATTATATATCATAATTACAAATCAGAATTTTAAATCTAGATTACAATTTAAAGTCAGAATTACAAATCAGAATTATTAAAAAACAGAATTTTACAAAACAGAATACAGAATAAATTACAAATCAGAATTACAAATAACAATACGCATTAAAAATCAGAATTTACAAATTGCACTATCAGAAATATTAAATTTTTACAAATCAGAATTTCAAAATTAAATCAGAATATTAAATTAAATAAATTTACGCAATCTAGGGCTCTTCAATCCCAATAATATTTCCACAGCAGCATTAAAATTCCCAATATTCCAACAGGTATCAACTACCCTTACAATCGCTGCCAAACAACTTTTACGCTCCTCATGGGTAGGTTGACTGATTATTACATGTGTAATCCATGAAGAGACTTCTGATAATCGTTTCACTAAATTCTTGACTGGGCTCGGATTATTTTGAATGTCTATATTGGCCAAATCACATCCCACATAACGTACAAAATCTATGGGTGCAATACCATAGAACATTTGATATTCAGTTGAGGATAGCTTTAAAAATAATTAATTTTTTAAATTGATGCTTACGGGTTTTTTAAGGCATACTTAAAAAGCTCTCCAATCCAATAGCCAGCTAAATTTGAAACCCTATTGTAGATTGAAATTTTTCAAGCAGGGATGGGACGGGGTACTCGCAGTTCTGGCTAAGCGATTGAAAATTTTTTGGATTAAGAGGCTTGTACGAGAGAGATTACATACTTCTTCGGGATTCTCGTAACTCTATGCGCGGACTTTGTTCAACTCGAAACACGGCCCTAAGTATTTTTGAAAACCCGATTTTTGGTTGTTTGACATTCGAGCTATTATTTTATTATAGCTACCTGAAAAGCAACTTCCTCTGGGAAATGTAGAATATACTGTAATCTCTCAAGCTCCAATCTAAATAAAGTAATCGGCTCATCCCTATTACATAACAATCCATTGCTATTCCTTATAGAAGAACATGTAGATGAGTAGGAGGTTGTTCTAGACCCTCCACTATGATTTGTGGTTGTCGTCCCCTCTCGGCTTTCTGGCCGATCGAAGAGTCCAAAACTTGTTCTGGCTGAACGATTGAACGTCTTTTGGATGAAGAGGCTTGTGCGAGATTGCATGATTTCCCAAAGGGTCATTGATATTGATTTGAGTATATTGTAGGAGGGGGCTGGAAATTTGAAAATTTTTGAAAATTTTTTGAAAATTTTAAAAGAAATTTTGGAAAATTTTTTTTGAAAAAATTTTTGAAAATTTTTTGAGAAATATTTTGAGAAATTTTTGAAAATTTTCAGAAAATTTTTAAAAATTTTAAAAATTTTTGAAAATTTTTTGAAAATTTTTCTGAAAATTTTTTTGAAATTTTTTTGAAAAAAAATTTTTTTCAGTTTTTCTACCAATCAGTTGCCACTTTGTTCCTCTAAATTCCAGTAGCAATTGGTGTTTACTCACACCACCTCCCACCCTCCATTGTTGTAGAGTTGCAGCGTGTTGCCGTCTCAAGGCGAATTTGGAGCATCCATCAAGTAGGCAAAATTGAGAGCTTTTTAAATTTTTTTTAAATTTTTTACAAAATCCCCTCGATACTTTGACAAACAGAGTAATCGGACATTTTTGCGTAAAGTCCGTCCATGCAGTAATTCTTTTACTTGGTAAACCTTGCAACCATAGGCGGGCAATTTCCGAGCTGTTTGGACATATAGGCGTTTCATGGCCTGTTCTGATTCGTATATTTGACTATGAAAAAGTTTTCGTTTGCGTTCCTTAAAGAGATTTTTATGTTTTTTTGATGTTGAAATTTGGATTCTGGAGAGGCTCGAATTTTTTGAAAAAATTTTTTTTGAAATTTTGAAAATTTTTTGAAATTTTCCCGAGCTTTCGAAAATTTCCGAAAATCGTATGTCCCCAAACTCCTTCCAAAATCCCCACAAAATATTCACCCTAATCAATCTAACAGTTCTTCTATCCCCACGCAAGTCCATCGGCAAACATTGTGCCTGTACATCTTCAGACAGCATTGGGTCCCTTTCAGACATACAACTGAAAAGTGTCAACGATCTCCTTCTTCTATTACCATGTTGTTGTTGTTGCTCAGTTATTTGTAAGTCTAATACCCCTCCTCCTTTAACGTTTGGATTCGTTGAAATTTTTCGATTGCTGGCGGCAGAATCGCTTAGAGCTCTAGGAGGGGTGCAGTACAAAGCCTGGTCAACTTCCCAAGGAGTTATCATTATTTTCTGGGCCAGATCGCGTATCCGACCAAATTGGCCTTTTAGAAGATGCCGACGGATTGTTTGTGTTCGTTTGTTGTTAGGCCAATTCTCTTCTACACAGAGTTGGACTGCTGCGAGTAATGCTGCTTCTTCTTTGGGGCAGGGTAGGGAGCCGGAAATTATTTGGTCTTGAAGCTGAAAAAATATTTTGAAGAAAATATTACATCATTGAACTCTATCGGTGAGAACCGCTACCCCTCTCCCTTGGCAAAAAAACCCCCAAAAAACCTACATCCAAATAATCATCATTAATCCTCTCCTCACTCTCCAACTTGCTCTCCTCTTCAGTTTCTAATTGACTATTAATCACGTTTAAAATATCAGCACACCAGCTTTTAACTCCTGGGTGTTGAGGAGTATTCAAAACCTTCAAAAATTATTTTTAAAAATTTTTCCTAAGGGGGGTTACTTGACGAAGCATGTCAGAACATGATCGCAGTGTGCAAACAAAATTTTGATCTTTATTGCTAAAAATGAGGGGATTTTCTTCCTATTTTCATATAAATCTTCACCTATACATAGACATTAAATCCAACAATAATTGCCTTACACAATGGAAATCGGGACTCATTTCGATTCCACAAAGGAGTTGTAAAGGGCTTTCTCTGTCAGGCACTCTCAAACTGCTATCTCCACTTGAACGAGAGATGGCCCTCTTTGGTAAAGGTATGCGTGTTCCAATGGTCGATGCTCTCTTTCGAAGGACGAAGCTGAATATGAATGGGCCTGAGTTGTCCGAAGCAATTGAAGTGCCTCCTGAGAAGGTGGAGAGTCGAAGGCCGCCAGATGAGGACCGTTGGGAGAGGCGAGAGCTTGCGCGAGAACTCCAGCCACACATTGAACTTTCTGATTTTTTGAAAAGGAAAAGTAAGAGGCTACAGTATTGGAAGGAATGAGAGATTAAAATTAGAAAACGAAATTTCGACACCAAAATATTAAGTCGAAATTTCGTTTTAACTCAAAATTTCGCTTTCCAGATAATATTTCCTATCCAAAAACTTAAATCATCTCCCACCATCTGAAGACTTTCTGGAACAAATTTGAACTTGACTTGGTCCACCACTCAACAACAAAGGTGCGCAATCATCAGACACACTCCCCGTCGCACTTCCACCTTGACTATTTGACATGACCTCTGGAGAATTAACAAAATAGCCAAATTCAAATTGAGATAAAGCTGAAGGTCGACGGATCTCGATAAGTGGTAATCCCGGCAAAACAGGAGGGCTGGAAGGACGTCGTAAGTCGACAACATTTCCACTGGCTACAGCAACTGAAGAGGAAGCGCTGTTATTCTCGCTAGTGAGTGCCGCTGCTGCGACTATGGCCGTGCTGATTAGGGGTGAACGGGGAGGGGATGCACTGTTGACCTGAATGAATTAATTGGTTGGGCAATTAATTGTTCATTGTTACCTCCAACTCGGGTAAATGCCCATAGCCAATATGCCGCTGTATTCGTTCCCCAGCACTCCCAGCAGTCCCCGCACTATCCTGTTGTCCTGCCTGTTTATAAGCCATCCTAAGCGTATCTCTCCTTGTAGGTGGAATATTCTGTAGTTTTTTGGTAAACTCCAAAACTGCCTCAGATCCACTCAAAGGACTGTCGGGGCTAGATTCTCGACTAGCACGGCTATGATGCCTCTTACACGGATCTGTGCCCATTCGGCCTCGAAAAAGATTAGTCAAATATTTGGGTAAATGCTTCTGAACGCTGGATGTTGAAGAAGAATTTGTTTTCTTTGACTTTCCACTCCCGCTGCTTGTATCGGTTCCAAGTCGTTTTCGATTCCGTTCCTTTCTCAACTCTTTGGCGCCACTGCTGAAGCGCTTGGGACGAGGAATCTCGACAGAACTAAAATAAATTGAAGGGTATATTTATTCGTTATCGAAGCAACCTTGATCTCCTAATATGGACACGTTTTGACAACCTCGAAGAGCCTCCGGCGTAGTCCACCCGTAAAAAACGTTTGCTGTCTTTTATGCTATTCTTACTGTTTTGTTCCTCACATCCTCTTTTAAATGAACTTCCCAACGAACAACTTGAATGTGCTCTTCGGGAATCGGCAACAGAAGTAATAATAGGTGTTGCTGTAGGGGTCGCATTCGCACTGCCAACTTGTCCATATATTGTTGGACGTTTTTTAGCAACAAGCGAAAGATCCCTTTAATTTATATAATAAATGTTTTTGATACAAATAAACTTATTTCAACATGTTTGTGTTTGTTCAAAATTTAATGTAGACGTTGTTTATTTTACAAAAACATGTTTTTGTTCATATAAGTTTATATTTAGGTATTTAAACAAAGTTTTGATTATTTCGTAAAAACAAGTTTATTTATTATAAACAAATTTTTGCAAAACTTAAGCAAACAAGTTTTTGTTTTGATTGTTTCACAAAAACAAGTTTATTTGTTATAAACAAGTTTGTTCTTTCCAAACAGGTTTTTACAAAACAAGTTTGTGTTTTTCTAAACAAGTTTGTTTTTATAGCTACATTTAAATGTTTGTTTTGATAAAACTTGTTTCTCAACATATTTAAATTATTTTCCACACAAACATGTTTTAATAGGTGTTTTTATTATTTAGTGTTTTTCTATGTTTTACCATGAAAGTTTGTGTAACAAAAGTCGCAACAACAACATAGGATCAAGTACTAGTGAAAATTTGCAGAGGTGTGTTTCCAAGTTGTTTATACAAACTAATGTGTTGTACACTCTCGCTACTGTCGCACTAACAGAAGCAGGAGGTGAAGAAGGGGCGCGCTTAACCTTTAAATGGTTTTTGAATAATTTCAGAATTTTGTAGCCTTACAGCCTGTGATTGTAATTGTTTTTCGGGAACAGCAACACTAGTTGGTCTAGGTTGGCTAGTTACTGTAGGAGTAGGTTTATGTTGCTGTTGTGGTTGTGTTATTTGTTGATGAATTTGTTGTTGTTGACCGGGAACTGTTAATTGTTGTTGTTGTTGGATTATACCTATTTATAAATGTTTCTTAGAGATGTTTTAACTAATTTTATTATAACTTCCGGAAAAAGTACATTAATTACATTAGCATTTAATTAGATGTTTACCGGAAAATATTAATTTAATTAGATGTTTTCCGAAAAACAAAATTATTTAGATGTTTACCGGAAAACGTAAACGTAATTAAATGTTTTCTGGATAACTAATTTAATTAGATGTTTTCCGGAAAATATTAATTTAAATAAATGTTTTCCGGAAAAACATAAATTTAATTAAATTTTTTCCGGAAAAACAAGATTATTTAGATGTTTTCCGGAAAAATATTAATTTATTAGATGTTTTTCGGGAAAAATATTAATTAGATGTTTTCCTGCAAAACAATGTTAATCAGATGTTTTCCGGAAAACATAAATTTAATTAGATGTTTACCAGAAAAACATTATTTATTAGATGTTTTCCAGAAAAATATTAATTTATTAGATGTTTTTCCGGAATAAATTTATCTATAAGTGTTTTATTGCCTTGAAGCTGAATGTTATTAATCTGTCTAGGTGTTGATCCACTTGATGATGTTGAGGGTGTTGTTGCCCTTGTAAGTGTTGATGAACATGTTGTTGTAGAGGATGGGGATACAGGCGGCCCCAAAACTGGAGTTGATTGTCTGTTTGTTAATAAATTGTGAGGAGAAGTTGAAGGAGTGTCTGGACTAGTTGAAGCTGATTTTGAATACGTAGCTGAAAAATCTTGGTTGTTCATAAAGAACTTTAAAAAGATTTTAACCATACAGGACGTTATAATCCCCCCCCCCTTCCCATTTTAAATATTTCCACTCCTATAAACCCAGCACTGAACGTTGCTGGTTTGAAAGGTTCCCCAAAATCCTGGCGTATGGTTATAGCTCCATCTATCAACTATACAAGAAGTGGTGTTATATTGCTAATAGGGTTGCCGTTTTCGAGTCGGGCCGACGGTCGAGGCATTTTTTTCGGGCTTGTTTTTATCGAGTCGGGGTCGAGCAGGTACGAGTCTTTTTCAGGCCTAACTATCGAGCCGGGCCGATCTTTCAGTCCGAGTCGGGACATTCTGGCAACCCTAATTGCGCATTTATATTATAATAATATTTTACATGAAATAAACGGGTTAGATGTATTCCGAGCAGTACATAAATTTGCCTCAACAGAAGTTGGAGGTGTACTAGTAGGTGTATCGTCAATAAAAGCTGGTGATGGCATTATTAATGGTGGAAGTGGAGAATCCTTTATGAATAATTTTTTAGATCATATCAAGAATGATACGTACAGGCTTCTCTTCACACTCCTCAATAATACAATTTGCACTATTTTGACCAACAACAATAGATCGAACTTGGACTGTAGGTGAAGCGATCACGCTCGCACAAGCACTGGGTCTTAAATATACTAGGTAGGTGTAGAGACAAGAACACGAAAAAAAATTTCAACTGGAGGAGACCCAAAATAAGCCCTTAATAAATGGACTACTACTCCCACCCTTCTACTGACATTCTAGAAAATCTCGTAGTGAATCCCTTTTATGGCAGACATATGGCAGTGAATCCCTTTCATGGCAGACACTTAACTCTTATATTTTCCTGAAAAGCTTTTGCTTACGTTTCCTCGCTAATAGGCTCCTGTGCTCCGCTTCCAGTGCCATTTGAAGCCTGGTTTCTGCTTAGTTCTTGCATTATTTTTAGAAGAATGCCTTCTACTGACATTGCTGTTCGGCTTTAAAAGAAAAAATAAATTCAATGTCTCAATTAACGCTCTCAATCACCTAAATTCTTGTGCCATTGTAGCCGGTCTAAGAGTTTCACAAATATAGTCGTCCTCATTTGCCGAGGTGGAATTGTTTGCTGCTTGACCCTGACTGCTAGTTAAGGATCTACGAGTGACTGAGGTTGCCAAAAGGGAGTCATCGAACAGAGAAACTCTGGAAGATCGAGAAACTTTCTTTTAATGTTTAATTGAAAATAGCTACCGATTTCCAACTCTCTCCCCTAGACCAATATAAATTAATATTCGAGCGGCATGGTGTTTAACAAAATGGCCAAATTTAGTGCTATGATTTGTATAATACCTGAAAAAATATTTTAATAAATTATTATTCTTGAGACTTTATGGCCATGAACCATTGTTAAAGCTACGTTCAATAACCACGGGTCATTAACAGTGATGTCAAAGTTCCAAAATTTCTCTGGAACTAGTTCCAGTTCCAGAACTAGGTTTTTAATTTTTGTAGTTCCAGTTCCAGTTCCGGAACTCCATTTTTGTAATTCCTTAGTTCCATTTCTGGAACTAGTTCCAAGCTAGTTCCAGATAATCGTTAGTTCCGTAGTTCTAGTTCTGGAACTGGAACTTTGACATAACTGGTCATTAATGGACATTCATATCTTAACGGAATATCTTAATGGAATATCTAACAAATTCTGACCAATCATCGGCTGGAAGAAGCATCTGAATAAGCGGATTATCCACCTGCATTTCAATAAAATGACGGTGTGTTGATGGATTCAAGGCTATAAGTGCTATAGTCTGAAGCAAAAGACAGAGCAGTTGCTTTAAAAATTTTTGGTGTTAAAAAAGAATTTTTTTATTATCACCGGATCCAGAGTTGGCTCGAGTAGTTGAATAAGTGTTCTTAACTGGGAACGCTCACTAATTTTTTGTCGAAATTCTTTAAAGCTGGCGAGGAAGAGTAAAATCTTGAAATATAGAAATTAATAATTTTAAAATATTTCACTCGGTAAATGTAAAAAATTTGCGCAAACATACTCTAGCAACCAGGATTTGTGTGCAATGCTATAATTATAATATAAAATCATCAATGAAACATGTTTATTTGAAAGAATATCAATAGTTTCAGGCTAATCAACATGTTTGTTTCAATGTTTTTAAGGTTTATTTCAAAAAATGTTTGTGTTTCAATAATGTTTCAATAGAAAAAGCATGTTTTGTTCAATCAAACAAATATTTTCACAAACAAGTTTTATTATTTCCAAACAAGTTTAATTATTTCCCGAACAAGTTTTATTATTTCCCGAACAAGTTTTATTTTCCCAACAAATGTTTACTTTTTACTGTTGTTTGTTTTTAACAAAGTTTATTTGTTTGTATTTCATTAAAACATAGCTTTACTTATACAAACATGTTCATAAAAACAAATATTAAAAAACATGTTTCAAGCAAACTTACGTTGTAACACTGTCTCCATCTATGCGCAGGCGAGCATACCGAGCGATTACCAGCCTCTCGATTATGCATGGTAATTGAGTTATGTAGATAAGCAATAATCTAGTTTTAATATTTAATAAATCAGATTTTATGACTTACAATACTAGGTTGCATACTAGAAAAGGCTTTTTGTAAATCGCTTAGCCGAACCTTTCAAATAATACAAAAATTAAATGATTTAATTCTAAGTTTTTCTACTTTATTATGTTGCGATCCAACATTAACTCCATGCTTCCGATAAAAACTTTGAAGAATTAAGGCGGGCGCTGAACTACTATCGCCTGTTTCACGTCTATCAGATTTTTCATTTTCTGATGTTTTGTTGGGTGTCTAAAATTATTTTTATAAAGTTTATTTTTAAGTAAAACAAGTTTATTTTAAATCGAGTTTATTTTAAAACATATTTTTTAAAACAAGTTTATTTAAAACAAGTTTATTTTAAACCAAGTTTATTTAAAAATTGTTTATTTAAACATGTTTACTTTAACATTTTATGTTTCGTTTATTGTTAAATAAACTTGTTTTTGGTAATGTTTTAAGTGTTTAAAATAAACTTGTTTTTCGGAAAAAATTTAAACGAACATGTTTATATTTCAACAAAACAAAAACTTGTTTTTCGTTTGTTTTAATTATTTTTCGAAAACATGTTTGTGTTTTAAATTGTTTCTTAGTGTGTTTATGTTTCACAACTTGTTTTTACCCAAAACTTGCCTGTAACGGGTCCTCCACAAAGGAAAGACCAGCTTCAAAATCATCTTGAGATTGAAATTCATGTGAACGATTTAATAACCGGGAGGAGTGGAATACTATTTGAGGCCAGCCAAATACAGAATTTACTAAACCGGCATCTATTACCTTGAAAATTGAAATTTTAGTGATTTCTACCCTTAAACCAAACTTTATTTAACGTGCTCAACGCCGCAAATTGTCTACAACTTCCACTTTTTTGTAGACACAAATAACAGAAATTGACTACAGAAACAAGGACACCGACCAGTCTCTGACGGTTCCATTTTTGTTGGACAGGAGCGCTCATTTGGAAGTCTGTCCCGCTTCGACTACGTTGCCGGGCTTTGAAAAAAAATTTTAAATTATTTAAAATTTATTTACTCAAAGAGAAGGAAACAATAGAAGTTAGTAATATTTGATGAAGCAATCCACCCAAATGAGAATCCATAATGTCCCTTTCGGCCCCATAAAAAGGATTTGCATGGTCATCCAATTGTTGGGCACAATATTTGTGAAGGGATCGCTATAATAGAATTATAAATTAAACTTGTTGTAAATAAACTTGTTTGTTAAAACAAATAAGCATGTTTTTCAAAACATGTTTTGCTACGTTGTTTCAAACATAATTTGTTTAAAAACAATTATTAAAGAAATAAATAAGCATGTTTTGAAAAGGAAGTTTTAAATAAACTTGTTTTAGACAAACATGTTTTAATAAAATAAACTTGTTTTAATCAAGCTTGTTAATAAGCTTCTTATTTAAAACATGCTATATTATAACAAACATTGTTTTAAACAAACTTTGTTTAAAACAAACTTTGTTTTGAACTTTTAATTAAACTTCCTAATATTCTCCTAAAACATGTTTTAAAAATCATTTTTAATTACCATAATACTTTCAATACATTCAGGATTAGAACTCATTTTCTGAAGTGTTTCCCAAGCCTGTTCCCTGCTAACATTTTCAAATATAGCTGCTATAATATTTAAATTTTATCTAAATTTTTTTAATTCATACAGTCTTTATTTAATTTCGTTCTTCTGTGTAATTGGAGCGAAACAAACGACTTTCGCCTTGAAGAGTCAACTAGTGTTGCAGGTACACCCATACTTATTCGATCTTTATTAACACTTAAACTTTCCAACATTGATGAGTTTGAGACTGATAAAGCAGCCGATGTTCGTGGGGAAAGGGGAGATTTGCTGTAGGAAAGAAAACAAGTTGTTTTGGAGAATAAAACATGTTTAATACAACTTTTTGTAAATGAACTTGTTTTAATTAAACTTTGTTTTGAAAACATGTTTTAAACATGTTTTTAAACATGTTGTTTTAAATAAACATTGTTTTTAAACTTGTTTGAATTTTTAATACAAATGTTTTGCATAAATAAACTTGTTTTAAAAACATGTTTTAATTCAGGTTGTTTTAAATAAATAAACATTGTTATAGAAACATGTTTTGAGATATGTATAAATTTTGTTTTAAAACATGTTTTAATAAAACTTTTTTAAATAAACATGTTTTAATTAAACTTCTATTTTAAAAACATGTTTTCAGACATGTTTTTAAACATGTTGTTTTGAATAAACTTTGTTTTTATAAAACTTGTTTAATAATAAACTTGTTTATGTTTTTAATACAAATGTTTTGCGTAAATAAACATCGTTTTAGAAACATGTTTTAGTTCAGGTTGTTTTCAATAAATAAACTTTGTTATAAAAACATGTTTTGAAACATCTTAGTTTTGTTTTAAAACATGTCTAAATAAAATGTTTTAATAAACTTTGTTTTCTTAACTTACTTGCTAAGACTTCCCCTCTCGCAAAAACTTGCTGGCAGCAGAAGCGATTCTTAAAATTAACATGTTTTGATTTATTAAATTTAAACACTTGCCAGCATCAACATTTGATTTACGCAAATGTTTAGTAGCAGAAATCATCGCTGCCGTTTTCATTAGTCTTTCTTGAGTGCTTACAGTTCCACCTATACTACCAGCCATGTTTATGTTGGTCTGTCCTCCACCTACTCCTCCAACCACTCCACCTCCATTCTCTTCCTTTTCTCCATTCCCCGTCCCTCCTCCACTCAAGTGAACTTGACTGCCACTGACGTGATTACCCCCAGAATTTGAATTTGTTGGCCGAACACAGGCCATTTGGAAAAGGCTCTCAACACAAGTTTCTTGTATTTTTCTTAATTCGGGGGCCAAATCTAGAGGGCAAATTCCTCGACTGTTTTTCTGTTGAATTCTAGCCCCGAAGAGGATGAGTATATGAAGACAATGCCAACTCAAAGGAGAGTCACGGACGGCCAACATTAAAGGGGAATTCCCGTCCTCATCAACAGCGTTCACATCAGCGCCATAAGAAACAAGCAAATTAATCTAGGGAATAATAAACAATGTTTGTTTGGCAAAAAAACATTTTTATAAAATGTTTAAACACTTATAAACATGTTGTAATTAAACTTGTTTTAAAGAAACATGTTCGGATAAAAGCATGTTCGGATTATTAGAAAACATACATTTAAATAAACTTGATTTAATAAAACTTTTTTTAAATCAACTTGTTTAAAATAAACTTGTTCGGGACACATTTGTTCAAACAAACTTGTTTTTAATTAAAAAGTTTTGAAGAAACTTGTTTAAATGAACATGTTTTAAGTAAACTTGTTTATACTAATAAACTTCATTTGCTTAAATAAACATAAAAATATTTACTATTTCTGGACTCTGTGCCCTCACCGCAATAGCTAGCGGTGTTTGGTCAAGAATTGAAACAACACGTAATTGTGTACAGACTGCACACATTTCAGGTGTTGCAGAATGATTTTTAGAAGGAAGAACAGAAGCCAGTGGAATGTTTCCCGATGTTGTACAGGCTCCTTTACAGTGGCACAGAGCTATTGTGTTTGGATCATAGCCGCTTTTGAGGAGGAGTTCGACAATATCTCGTTGTTTGTGGGCTACTGCCATGTGTCTAGAAAAGATTTTTTAATTAAAAAAATTTTTTCCTATTAAACCCACAATGTACTCATAGTAGCACAATTTGAACGTCCACCAGAATGTGTTGATAAAGTACTCGATGCATTAGAACGCCTATGTTGCATTGTAGCAGCTCCACTAGATAAACCTTTTATTGAAAATGTACAAAGAAAACTTACCCATGCCTACGTTGAGCTAGGTCAGTAAACGTGTTTGTGCTGGTTATAGATGGTGATGATGAAAGTGTAGCTTGATGCTTTATAAAACAATTTAAATAAACTTGTTTTAAAAGCTTGTTTTAATTAAACTTTTCTGAAATGAACTTTACGAACAAAACAAGTTTAATTTTTAAATTAAACATGTTTGGAAAAATTGAAATAAACAAACATGTTTTGAGTTTGTTTAAATGTTTGAGAAATTGTTGAAAATTTTTAAAAATGTTGGAAAACATGTTGGGAAATTAAACATGTTTGTGATTAATTAGTTTTAAACAAGACATGTTTTGAACAAAACATGTTTAGAAAGCGTATGTTTAAATTAGAGTTGATCAAGACGAGACCGATACCGAGACCGATACCGAGATTCTCGGCTTTTTTCCAATATCGGTCTCGGTTTTTTCATTCTCGGTCTCGAAACCGATACCGATATTCTCGGCCCATTTCTCGGCGAGAAACGATACTGACTCAAAGAAACAAAATTCTCAATATTGTCCAAGTTTTCGTCCATAATTTTTTTAGGATATCCGTCCATAACAGAAAAGTGAATTTTTTTCGAATAAGGTTTTCTAAAATTCAAAAAATTTTCGCCTGCGGCGCTGAAAAAGGAAAAAATTTGGTGACTTGGCCTTCCAAAATTTAATAAATTTTCGTCTGCGGCGCTGAAATGTTGAATTTTCCGAGCCCTCGGCCGTTAGATTTTCAAGATTTTGATTACAGAGCCTTCCGATTTTCGGCAACTGTTGTTCTCACCATTGGATTAAGGGGATTTGAAGCGATCGGAAGCAGGGGTGAGCGCATTAAGTTTTGCGTATCTGAGGGCAAAAATTGGAAAAAATCTGGTTTCATGGCCTTCTAAAATTCTCAAATTTTTGTGTGCGGCGCTGAAAATGAGAAGAATCTGGCTTCTTGGACTTTCAAAACTACAAATTATTGCCTGCGGCGATGAAAATTGGAAGAAATCTGTTGACTTGCACTTCTAAAATTCAAAAAATTTTTGCCTGCGGCGCTGAAATAATGGTTTGGTTAACCGAAATTTTCACTTCGGCCATCTGCGGATTGCCTCAAAAGTTGTAAGGATATAATTGGATACGGATGTCGACCTCACGGATATACCTATTCGGATACTGACACATAAATTAGTATCCATTGCCAAGCCAGATCGGATCCAGATGATGAAGAGTATTTATCTGATGATTTGGATGATGAAAATAATATATAAATTATTTTTACACGTATTTTTTGACATAAAATAAAAATTTCTGTTAGTCTCGGTCAGTATCGTTTCTCGGTATCGGTCTCGGCTCAAAATGTTGGTATCGGTCTCGATATCGGGTTCTTGAGTATCGGTCAATCTCGGTCTCGGGTTGGCCGATACCAGTATCGTTTTGATCAACTCTAGTTTAAATTAAAAATTAAACTTGTTTTAAAATAAACTTGTTTTGGATAAACTTGTTTCTAATAAACTTGTTTTTAATTAAACTTGTTTAGGAAAACTTAAATTATTTAAATAAACTTGTTTTTGATTAAACCTAGAAACATTTTAATTCAGTGTTTCTACCTTATTTCCACAGTGTGAAAGCAACAGCCTATCTACCAGGCTAGCATCATCCATATGTATCGCCTTATAAATTTAATTTTTTCAATTTAAAAATTTTCTAAAAATTTAAAAAATAAATTAAATATACATCTAACAACATTTCAGACAAATTTTGATTCATTGAAGGTTTCCTATCTGGGTCTGTTCTCAATACACGTTGTGCTGCTGTAAAGGTGAAGCATCTGCCTGATTCTGTTGGGGTACCCTTAAAAAATTTTTTTTTAATTTTTAAAATTTTTTTATTAATTTTGTACCACCAAGGATGACCCTTCACTACTTTCACCAGTATACCGCCTTCCCGACTGTCCCGATTGTTGTCGTTGTAAGCGTTGCCTAAGCCTTTTAGCTGTACATATGGAGGATTCATGATTCGAGGTAAGCTCTGTCGAGTAGCTAAATTAGGGTAATATTTTAGAAATTAAAAGTTAAACAGAAAATACCCAAAAGGATAACGATCAGCTGTTTCGGTAGAGGATTCTCGAGTAGCACTCATTCTCAATATTTTTGAATAATTTTTAATTGTTATTAATTAATTTATTATTTTATTTATTTTTTACTTTATAAAATCGTGTAGGATGATTAGGGCCATATTAATAGTTCCTTTTAGAGTTGTCGGTTCTCAGAAAATCTTCGGATATCCAAAACCCTGCCGAAAAATCTTCGGTTCTTCGGGGCGGTTACCAACCTACAACCCTAATTCTAGTCATCTTTAGATACACGTTGAGGTCGAAAACTCGGAGGTGGAGGTTTTTAGGATAAGATTTTCGTTGTCATGGTTGGGATTTACCCAAAAAAGATGTGTATTCTGGTTCGAGGTTTAACCCTTAATCTTTTCATTTCTAAGCGTTCTCGGTCATTTGGTAAGATTTCTGGACAGACGATCCTAGTCCTAGTCATCTGTTAGCTTATTTATATAAACAAGGGTTTCTCTTATAGTATCATAATTTTCTCCAGGGTTGGACACCGACTCGTCGGGATCTACACGTTCGGGGTGAGGTTTTTAGGATAAGATTCGTTGTCATGGTTGGGATTTAGCCAAAAAAGGCGTGTAATGAGGGCTGTGGTTTAACCCTTAACCTTTTCCTTTCTCATATATAGGCGTTCGTTAGCAAAAGATTTTAGAAACATTTTTTGCGAAATATTAAAAATTCATTGTCTTTAAAAAGGTGTGAAGACTTTTTTAAAATAATAGAGACAAAGTTTTTGATAATAAAATATTTACATTTATTTTAAAAAATGGTTGTTTTGTCTGCTTTAAGTGTGGTGATGCTCTATGGGGATTAAATATATTTATATTTTTTCAAATTATTATTGCCTGGGATACGGGTGTTTTTTTTTGCTGTTAAGAGCGTGAACACGATTATATTAATTTTTTGGATTTTTTTGTTGGATTGGGAAAAGGAGGATTGGATAATTAAAATAGAGAGAAGAAGCATAGCAAGGGTTTCCGTTAAAAAAATATTTGGTAAAAATAAATACAGAAAGGTTTAGGTTGTTTACTAGGGATTAAGGTTGGTGGATAGTTGGAAATCCTCGGATATCCAGATCCGGTATCCAAACCGAAAATTTCCGGATGTCCGGCCTTTTTTAGGATCCGGATCCGCCAACCTTACTAGGGATGGGCAGGCTGGAAAAAGGAAGTCGGGTCTGTTTTCGTATCAAATTTCCTTCGGATCGGGTTCCTGATCGAAAAGTATCAGGCTTTCGAGTATCCTGTTTCGGGTAAAACTGAAGCACAAAGTTAAATACAGCCAGAAACAATTGATAGCCGCAGGTCTTTCGGGGATATCAATATCGCATTCGGAAAGGCCATTCCGACAATCCTACCAGTCCCAATTGTAGAATTGAATTTAAAGATCGGTCTAGATTCAGTTCGAAAATTTCGATTATCGAAGTTGGAATTTTTATACTGTTAGACATCGGCACCTCCCCTGTACGTCACCCACCTTAACAAAAATTCTGACGTTAAAGTGAATATCCGTCTATTTTAAGTACATTTAAATAATTAATGAAGGGATTAACTGCGCGCCTTTATATTTTATTTTAATTTGGGTAAGCAACGATACTACTATAATTAATTTATGTTAAGCAGGAAATGGCATAATCTCCCTTTTTTAAATAAAAATTTTATTCTTTAATTCATTTTTACAAAATTATTTTAATAAAAATTAATTAAAATTAAATTCTTTTAAAGTCCAAAATCAACAGGCAATTCTGCTGCCGGATGCCACATATAGCGTAAAAACAAAATTAAAAATAGTAAATTAGCTCCAGAAAATATAAAAAGGAAGAGGTAGTCAAATCTGGCAAATACTCGATTCCACTCTCTTTGGATCTGAAAAATATTTTTTAATTAGAAATAGGGATGGTCCCCGACCCCCAACAAAATTCTATCCTTGTATCAAAAGTTTTCTATAACGTGTCGAGGGCCAACTCAAATTAAGTATGGAATGGGCATGATTCTGAGATGTACAAGTTAAGGAGGCTTAATAAAGTAAGAGCGAGGTAAAAGTTTAATCTCGGGTAAGTTTCCTATTGCTGTGACCTCTGTTGTGTCCGCACTTGCAGAAAGAACATAAATGAAAAATATTAACCCAACATCGGGTTGGATGGTGGCACCGTCGGTTGTGCTTCGGTCTGGGCTCATTCCATGATGGTTCAATTCCATCTCCCATCCAAACAATTTTTTCACAGCATGAACATCGTATACAATAACCTCCTTGCAGTTATTGCTAAGCTTTACCGAGACGCTGCATTCACTTTCTATTTTAATAGATCTTAATCCCTGCCTAGTGAGCGTTTCAAATGCTAGTTAGCTGGATCTTTCTCTTCTTTACAATAAACATAATTGGCCTGTACCATTAGCCTAGTTATATTTTCTCTGGAATCGGGAATCGAGTTACCTATATCCCTGCACCATAACTAACCATTTGTCTCTCCTTATGCATTTCAATTTTTTCTCTAAACTTTTTTTGGGCATCTACAATAATTTGTAGTTGTGACTGTATCGTTTGAAATTCGTAGGAAATTTTTGGTTTTAAAATAAAATTTGTCGGCTGCCCATTTTTGTTGTTATTATTTGTATAATAATCCAATTCACAATTGTTATTTAAAGGTTCTCGACTGTCTTTATAGTTTTTGTAGGCAGAAGAAAAAGTGTGGTAGTGTTTTTCTTGGTAAGGATTGAGTAATAAATTTCTGAAAAAATAATTATAATAATTCTGATTTTTGTTCTGATTTTTAATTCTGATTTTTGATTCTGATTTTTAATTCTGATTTTTATTTCTGATTTTTAATTCTGATTTTTGATTCTGATATTTAATTCTGATTTTTGATTCTGATTTTTAATTCTGATTTTTGATTCTGATATTTAATTCTGATTTTTGATTCTGATTTTTAATTCTGATTTTAATTCTGATATTTGTTCTGATTCCTAATTTCGATTTTTATTCTGATTATTTTCTGATCTTTAATTCTGATATTTAATTCTGATATTTGTTCTGATTCCTAATTCTGATTTTTATTCTGATCATTTTCTGATCTTTAATTCTGATATTTAATCCTGATTTTTGTTCTGATTTTTATTCTGACTTTTTATTGACTTTTTTATTCTGGTTTATCATTCTGATTCTAATTCTGATTTAGATTTTGATTTTTATTCTGATTTATATTCTGGATTTACAATATAAAATTCTGATTTTTTATAACCAGAAACTTAATTGTAATAAAATCGCCTTCACCTATAAAGCTTTTCTGACGGCAATTCCCCACTTTGAATAAAATGCCTCGACATAGCCAACAGTAACATGCTAACTCCAACACCTACCGCGCACAAAACAATTGTAAAAATAATATAATGGCCAAGTAGAGGTATTGAATTTGATCTAGGCATCGCTGCCGAAACTATGTCCAAAAGTACAGACATTGCTAGGAGTGAGCCAAGTCCGAGGGATACCTAGAGGAAATTGTTTGACTTTATCACCCCTCAAGTTTTTATCAATCTAACTACCTTTTCTCCGCGAGGCCCATCATTCGTACCAGGCGTGAATATCCCCAAAATGCTCAATGCAGAAATCAGGAAGGTTGGTGCAACTATCACGGTAATGTAATAAACAGGTCTACGACGTAAATGAATTATGTAATGGACCTATAATATGCATAATATTTTTGTATATTTAAGGGTTGATCCCGGCCCAGCTTAAAGAACATTTTTGGGAAAAGGTAACAAGTCAGGATACTGGAATGGGGGCTGCGGTGACCAACCCTTTAGTATAGAACTTTTTAAACGAGAGATTACAGGAAAGGGGTCCTGGGTTCGGCCTGGGATCTGATATGCCTGTGATTGTCTAACGATCCTCTTCGGACAAGGTTGGGTTGGGATCGACCCTTTTCAGGAGAGAAAGACAGGAATATCCCCAATCCTCTTAACTAGGGTTGGTCCCCGAGCCTTCGGGGTTGAAAAAGTCGGCGGTCGGGGTTTTCGGGGTTGACAAAGTCGGGGTCGGGGTCGGGGTTGCTCAAATTGTTCGGGGTCGGGGTCGGGGCTGAAAATAATGTCGGGGTTCGGGGTCGGGGTCGGGGGTCGGGGTTGTAGTGAAAATTTACAAAATCCAGCATTTTCATCCAACATTACTGTTCAAAATCAACATTTTTATTAAAAAAATCAACTTAATCTTCATTATCTTCACTTTCTATATCTAATTCGTTATTAGTTGAAGGCGCAAGAATTACTTTATCCAAGTTATCCTTCATAATCACCAAAATCCCCAAACCCACAAGGTAACTCTTACTCCCCCTCTTATGTAAAGGGGTTGAGGGGATATGAAGGCGCCGCAGGCAAAAATTTTGAGAATTTTGGAAGGTCAAGAGCCAGATTTCTTCCATTTTCGGCGCCGCAGGCAAAAATTTTGAGAATTTTGGAAGGCCAAGAGACAGATTTCTTCCATTTTCTGACCCAAGGCGAAAATTTTGGAAAATTCATGACTAGTTTAAAATTTCTAAAATTTTTCAAGTTTAAAATATTAAAAAATAAATTTGCAAATTTAAAATCAAGATCAAAGTTTAAAAATATTTATTTTTGAGAAGAAAAACTTTCTCAGCCTCATTTCCATCCATGGATTCGAACAACATCCCTATCAAAATAGATAGATGGGTGAAGTCAGTTAACCTAACCACACAACCACCGACCAACATAAGGAAACAGGAGAAAATATAAATATTCCTTTCCCTTTTCATATATTTAACATCAAAGTCCCGATCCCGTTCCGATCTCTAGTTAATTAATACAGTTTGAGTCGGGGGCATAAAAATTTTTCGGGGTTCGGGGTCGTCGGGGTCGAACTTTCGGGGGTCGGGGTTTTCGGGGTTGGGAATGTCGGGGTCGGGGTCGGGGTTTTAGGTCAAAAAATGTCGGGGTTCGGGGTCGGGGTCGGGGTTAGTCGGGGTCGGGGACCAACCCTACTCTTAACATACTTCAACACGTTCTTCTCCGTCCTCCATAAATTTTGTTGCTCTCACAGTAACATTTAATAATTCCCATTCTGCATTACCCTGTTAATTAAAAAAATTTTTTTTAATTTTTTAATCAAAAAAAATTTTTACAGAAAAATAGGAGTCTTTTGGAGGCTTTGTTGTATTAACATCCATTTCTTGTATGCTAAGCAATGGTGATGCTTGTGCTATGGCACAGAATTGTGTGTCAAATGGGAATAACTTTAAATTAAATTAAATAAATATTGTAATTTTTAATTAAAACTTACAGAAATATTAAGTCTGCAAATACAAGAAACCTGAAAAAATTTACAATTGTAATTTATAAATATAATTTTTAAAAATCAGAATTTGTAAAAAAATATTCTGATTTATTATTATTTTATTTCTGATTATTTTACAAAGGTAATTATTATCAGAATAAATATCAGAACAAATAAATATTTAAGAAAATAATTCTAAAAATTTAATTCTGATTTTTATACAATCCCCATTTTACAATTACTATTTAATTCTGATTATTTTACGTAAAATAATTCAGAATTATCAAGTTTTTTACAAATCAGAATTTGTAAGAAAATTACAAAACAGAATTGACACAACAGAAAATATAATACATTATTTATTCTGATTTGTATTTTTTTATAATTCTGATATTGTAAATTATTAAATTCTGATTTTTAGAAATTACAAATTCTGATTTTTAGAAATTACAAATTCTGATTTTTAGAAATTACAAATTCTGATTTTTAAAAATTACAAATTCTGATTTTTAAAAATTACAAATTCTGATTTTTAGAAATTACAAATTCTGATTTTTAAAAATTACAAATTCTGATTTTTAAAAATTACAAATTCTGATTTTTAAAAATTACATATTCTGATATTTTAAAATTACAAATTCTGATATTTTAAAATTACAAATTCTGATATTTAAAAATTACAAATTCTGATTTTTAAAAATTACAAATTCTGATTTTTAAAAATTACAAATTCTGATTTTTAAAAATTACAAATGGTAATTTTTTATTTTACAATTAAATATTCTGACTAACATAATGAGGAATATTAGCCTTTATATGCCCATCACTACTAATTCTGATATCAAAACGATTTTCTGTAAGCATTTCCTTGTTGTCCATAGAATTGTAAATAAACATTTTAGGTAGCCATACAGTTGAGTGGGGTACTACAATTTGTTTTAGGCCAGAAAACAATTTCGGATCCCAAATAAGACGAGGATCCTTCCATTTCTTTTAAAATTATTAAAAATTATTTTAAAAATGTTAAAAATCAGGATTAAAATTTATTGCTAGCTAAATGCCGTTCCCCCGGAGTCTACCTCCTCCAACATGCCACTCCCCTACATCCATTGGCCTATCAAATTTCTAAAAAAATTTTGCTTGTGTACACAAGTGAAGAAATAGGGCTCCCCGACTTCTCGAACTTCTCAGCCTATCATTGAAAGTCCATTCACCGACAAGCCCGTTCCTTGAAAATAAACCCCGATGGGTAATTCTATCAATACTTGTAAAATCTAATCATTACTTGAAAATAAACACCTGAATATGTGAAATTACAAATGAGGCTACTTGTTGATTTTCTCTCTAAAAATGCTTTAACTCATTACAAATCAGAATTTACCTACCAATTCTGTAAGTATTGCCAACACAATAGTCATTTCAATAATTACAGGGCGTTGTTGATCCGAGAAGGGGCGAATTCTTTTATCATAACCTCCAAAAAGGAAGTCGAGCAAATCAGTGCTTGATTGATCAGTTGAAGTCATTGCATTACCAATACTATTAGCATTTTCAAGAAGAGGGTGCATTTTTAATTAATTAATTTTAACTAAATTTTGGGCATCGAAACATATTAAAAATCATAATTTTTCCTCCATAAATGAAAGTTTTTTGCCCTTAACTTTTTTGTCAGTTAAATAATTATTTTTATCATTAAATCTATCTTAAAGCAAATTTAATTCCCTATTAAATGAGCTATAGATTGAAGTAATCAGTTAAGGGGTTCCAGAGTTATAAGCCTTAGAAGCAGCTTAGTTCAGCTTTACTCAAATAAAAAGTTTTGTGTTTTTTGCCCTTAACTTTTTTATCAATTCAATAATTATTTTTATCATTAGATATATCTTATAGCAAATTTAATTCTCTATTAAATAAGCTTTAGTTTAGAAGAATCGGTTCAGGCATTCAAAAGTTATTAGGCTTGGAAGCAGCTTAGCTCAGCTTTACTTAACTAGAAACCTATGAGTTTTTGCCAATAAACATTAAGCCAATTCAATTAATACTTTTTGCTAATATTTTATCATGTAGCAAATTTAATTCTCTATTAAATGAGCTATAGACGGAAGGAATTGGTTCAGGCAACCCATAGTTATAAGCCTTGGAAGCAGCTTAGTTCAGCTTCACAAAGCTTCAAAATGAGGACTTAAAATATAAAAATAAAATATTTAAAAATTCAAAAGCTCAAAAATTCTTTTGTTCCTTTAAAGATTTTTTATTTGAATAATGAATGGACATAAAAACTTTTTTCTAACCCTCAAATTTCTCCCAAAAAAAAAATTTCAAAATGTCAACTATGAAGAAATTTCAAAAGGTCGCTTCACAAGAAAATGCCAAATAGGCAAAAAATTTTTCGAAACGTTAATTCGACAAAAAATATCAAAATGTCAACTTTAGAAATTTTTTAAAATGTCAATTCAAAACATTAATTACAAAATGTCAACTAAACGAAAGAAATTCGAAAAGTCATTATTTGTACTTTATTAATTTTTAAATTTTAATTTCACTCAAAGTCAACCTCTACCTTAATTTTTGAAATATGCTAAATAAATAAAAAATAGTTGTGTATTACTCACTTTAATAATAAATAAAAATAAATAAAAATTCAATTTTACCCTTTATTTCAAGTCTTCCAAAACACACTAATGTTTGCTAAAATTTATTTTTTTAATTTTTAAATAAAATTTTTTTATTAAAAAAATTAATTAATATTAAGTAAAAAAATTTTTTTTCTTTACTGGAAAAAATTTTAAAATTAATTTTCCCCCAATTTTTACAAAAATTTAAATATAATGAATTTAAAAATTCCACTAATTTTATTTAAATTTTATTTATTTTTGTTTTTATTATTTCCACAAATTTTCTCAAAAATGTGTTTTGAATTGAAAAGTATGGGGTATTGTGATAATGCGATATACAAGGCTATGATGCAAAAACACTGTTTGTCTGAATGTGGGGCTAATGCTTGCTTTGACAAGAGAGCTGATTTGTTTGTTATTTTAAATAATTAATTATTTTTACAATTTGTAATAAGTTTATTTTACAAATTTTAATTCAAGTTTAATTATTTTTACAATCCTAATAATACCTTTATAATAAAAAATAAACTTGAATTAATATTCAAGTTTTACAATCCAAGTTTATTTTTTAAATTCAAGTTTATTTAAACAAGTTTATTTTTACATATTTAAAAAAATAAACTTGCTTATTTTACAAATTGTAATTCAAGTTTAATTATTTTTACAATCCCAATAATTAACTTTACAATAAAAAATAAACTTGAATTAATATTTAAGTTTATTTTTATATTTTCAAAAGAAATAAGCTTGCCTATTTTACAATTTGTAATTCAAGTTTATTTTATTCCAAGTTTATTTTTTTATATTTTAGGAGCTTTTAATTAAAAATAACTTTTTTTCCCTTATTAAAAAATTTATTTTTTAAATTTTCTAACAGATGTCCATACTGGAAACAAGACCCAAATAATTTCTGCACAAACTCATTTTATAGCCCACAGACTGTTGAAGAGTGGTGTAACGCAACCTGTAATTGTGGAAATGCACCACCCCCAGCAAATAATGCACCCCCAGCAGGAAATGCAAAGAAAAAATGAAAACAAAATTATTTTTTTAATTTTATTTTGATTGTTTTTATTTTAAAAATTAATAAAAAAAATTTACAAAAAATTATGAAATTTTTAAAAGAGTGTATCTGGTCTTGTTTTAATATGTTGTTGTAATTGTGGCAGTGAATGGACAGCTAAAAATTAATTATATTTAATTTTTACAATTCAAGTTTATTAATTCAAGTTTAATTTACAATTTGTAATTTAAGTTTATTTTTCTTTAGAAAATAAACTTGTTATTAAGTTTATTTTAAAATTCAAGTTTATTTATTAATCAAAGTTAATTTTTTACAATTTTCGCATGTTTATTTTACAAATTGTAATTCAAGTTTATTTTTATTTTATTTTCACAATCCAAGTTTATTTTTGTATTTTTAAGGGCATTAAAAATTTTTTGGATGTTGTTTGTTTCCTCCCCTTATTCTATTATTCCCCAAAAAATTTTTATACCCTCCTTACTATTTAAAAAAAATTCTTTTTTCACCTCTACAATGATGCAACACTCTTGGAAATCTATCCAACATATCCTCCCTTCCATAAGTCAAAGCCAATTCAGAAAATGAGGCTGCATAAAAATCTATCCAAGTAATCTTTAAAAAAAATTTTTAAACTCCAAAATAAATTAAAATTGCCTTATCCCCAACTAAATATCCAGTATTATTTATTTCCAACTGTCTTTCAAATACAGCACCAAAATCTTCAATAATACACGGCCAGAAACACTGTTCTGCCAACACGGGTAACTAAAAGTTACATTTTAAATTTAATTTTAAATTAATTTCCCTGCCTTGTCAGCCGGTATTAACCCTAAAAGACAATTTACAAAAGGTTTGATATATTCAAAGTGGTCGTTTATACGTTGAGCTAATTGCATACAAAGTGCTTTTTCTTCTGCTGTATCTGATTCTAAGCCTATTGAATTTATTTTATGTTTATTTTTACAATTTGTAATTTCAAGTATATTTAAAGTTTATTTTATATTTGTAATTCAAGTTTAATTATTTTTACAATCCGAGTTTACTTTTTTAATTTTACAAATTCTGAATTTTTACAATTTAATCCAAGTTTATATTTTACAATTTGTAATTCAAGTTTATTTTTATTTGTAAACTAAGTTTAATTTAGGTACAATAGGTAATTTGCGGTTGTAATTAATTTTAATTTGTAATTGTAATTTTTATTTTTTTACAATTAAAGTTTAATTTGTAATTTTGTATTTTCTCTAATAAACATACCAAATTTCTCTCCTAAATAGGCTAAAATAACAGAAGTGTAGCATATCTCAAACTGCCCATCTACTGTAAGTTTGGGGAGGTGGGGCAATGGAAGTTCTAAAAAATCTTTTTTAATTCATTTTTTCAATCATTTATTTACTGTCTTTAGCTTTTGTAAATTCCAAAAAATTTTCTCTAAAATCTTCAAAAGGTTGTTGGACATAGTTAAGTAGTAGCCGAATTGATTCTGCGCGCCCTCGAAGATTTAAATAATGAATTTTAAATTTTGGCATTCTCTTAGGCTGTTTGGTTGTTAGACGGCGACTGAAAAATAAGAAAAAAAATTTTTGACTTGACATTTTGAAATTTTGGACAGTTTTGAAGGGTACACCCCAAGGTACCACAGAGCTATGAATTCGTTCAAAGTGATCGAATCCGAGACGCCCTGGCATGTGTCGATGCAACTCAACGAGCTGATTCGAACTATACCAGAGGCGTCCCAGATTCGACAATTTTGGACGAATTTATAGCTCTGCGGTACCTTGGCCTGCTCCCGTTTTGAAAGTTGGACATTTTGAGATCTGTTAATTCGACATTTATAATTGACATATGTCAATGTGACACTTTTACATATGTCAGATTGACATTTTTAGATTTTTACCATTTTGACTCTTTCCATTTTAAAATTAAAAAAATTTTATTTTTTAAAAATTAACCTCGGAGAGGCCGCTTTCCACGCTGTATGTACCCCCACCGATTGTTGTGATGGATGTCTTAAAGACTGATTAAAAGGTATTCCCCAAGAAGAGTTAGTAGTTGTAGTGGTTGCTGTAGTAGTGCCTTCTAATGGAGAAGATGGGGAACGAAGTAAACGAAGTTTTGAGGGATTTTTGGCAATTTGTTCCCAATAGATAGCTTTATTGTTTAAATTATTGGATTGCATTTTTAGGGGATTTTAGAGGGATTTTAGGGGGATTTTTAGAGTTTTAGAGAGATTTTAGGTGATTTTTTGGAGTTTTAGAGGATTTTTAGAATTTTTACGGCTTTTTCCCTTCAATTTCAGGCTTTTTTTGATATTTTTTAGACTTAAAGGGGGTATTCTTCCTTTCTATGAATTTTTTTGATTATTAAAAAAATTTTTTTGATTGAGGTTTTGAGGGTTTTTAAACACACTAAAGTCAATATACTACTCGTTTTCTCTCTTTTCCCACTAAATTCCCCTCTTTCCTCAAATTACCTTTTATCTAGCTAATTTTTTAGCTTATTACTACAAACATATTATTTTGCACTTTTCAAGTTTAAACTCAAAAATGCTGTAAAAGTGTCATTTTTCATTTAGTTATAAAATAAGTTTGAGTGCAAAATAATAAGTTTGTAAACTTAAAAAAAGTTGGAAAATATAGGAGGGAAAAGGTTGGAAAAATAAAATAATTACAAATTGTAAAAAAAGTTGGTAAAATTGGAGTCTATTTTGTAATTGTAAAATAAGTTTTAATAAAACTTACAAATTGTAAAAAAAAAGTTGGAGACTAAGTTTGTAAATAATTACAAATTGTAAAAAAAAAGTTGAAAAAGTTGGAGACTAATTTGTAAATGTAAAGCAAGTTCTAATAAATTTTACAAATTGTAAAACAGGTTGGAGACTAAGTTTGTAAAACAAGTTTTAGAAGGTATATTGGGAGAGGAAAAGTTTTACAAAT